TGTTTATAGTCGTATGGGAGATACCCAGGTCGTTGTTTGACTATGTAAACTATCGCTAGCTCGGTGACTGCAGGTATTCAATGTAGTACAGCCCATGCTGAACAAAGCGCGAGCCGACAACAAGCCTATGCACATGACTCATTCAACCACAAGATACATACCTGAAACCTTCAAGGGCGCCCCTGTTGTTGTGAATGAATTCCAATTATGACGACGTAGTCATGGGTCGTAAGCGCGAACACTCAGTGTCAGCCTTCACAGACCGTTGTCGCATAGAAACACGTAGGACTTCCCACGCACAACTCCGTATTCTCAAAGGATTAGCAGGCAAAACGACTTGGATTGATCATGTCTACCACACCAGAAGTAGCAGAGCAGTGGCAGCCGCCCACCGAGTCACTAGGCATAGTTCCTTTGGTGACTCGGGGAACAAGCTGTGGTATACCCGTCGAAGGCGATTTCCCACTCGATCAGGTCGTAATAGACAGTATGTATTATACATCTCACTGTGTATTATATTAACGTAGCTACTAATCATGAGCAGAACTACCTCTTGGTACTCAAGTCCACAGCTGCAACCGACACGGCGCATCAGGATGGACAGTCACCGCAAAGATAGACACCACACGCCCAGACGCCCCACCGAAATCGTACTTCCTGAAGGTACTTACAACCTCCTTGCGATAACAAGGTACTCTAGTTGCAATCCAGCTAACGCGAATCAAGTGCGCAGACGGCGACCAAGGCAAAGCCATGCTCAAAGGCGAATACTACTCAATGTGCGCCCTCTACAAAGTCGCACCCACCTTCGTTCCCGAGCCCCTTGCATACGGCCAACTCAACGTCTCAAACCCAGACTCCTACTTCTTCCTCTGCGCCTTCCTAGACATGGACACCACCCAACCCCCCAACCCAGAACAACTATGCAAGAAACTCACCACACTCCACCTCTCCAGCGCGTCACCAACCGGAAAATTCGGTTTCCACATGAACACCTGTCAAGGCAACCTACCCCAGCAAACAGCCTGGCAAGACACTTGGAAAGACTTCTTCATCCAGCTCCTCACCGGCGCCATGAAACTCAACCACTCCATCAACGGGCCATGGAAAGACCTGCAGGAATGCACTGATCGCGTAATCACGCACGTCGTACCAGCCCTCCTCAACCCCCTCACATCCAACAACCGCACCATAAAACCCAGCTTAATCCACGGCGACCTCTGGGACGGCAACATCGGCACCGACACCACAACGGGCGAAATCTACGCCTTCGACGCCTGTGCATACTACGCGCACCACGAGATGGAGATTGCGATTTGGCGCGGTGATCCTAGTAGGATTTTGGGTCGGCAAGAGTATACAGATGCGTATGTGGGGATTATGGGGAAGAGTGAGCCGGTCGAGGGGTTTGAGGATAGAGGCAAGCTTTACTGTGCTTATATGAACTTGCATGCGAGTGCTTGTCATGGGGGAAACAGGTTTAGAGAGAAGTAAGTTGGTGTTGGAGGGAGGGGTGTGAGGGCGTGTTGCTGACTTGGTGGGGTACAGATCTTATGGGATTATGAAGGATTTGATTGAGAGATACGGGGAGTAGGATGGAGGGCAGAGTGGCGTGCTTTAGGGAGGTGGGCCGGATGTGTGCCTGGTTTATGTAAAGATTCATACTCGGGCAAGCTATATGTCTTCTTTGGTATACGGTACAACTACTGCGTCTATTCCAGCCCGGTTGGTATACGGTATGGTTCCAAGGTTGCGATGCCTCCAGGGCTTTGATGTTGTTCGCTGGGGTGTCCGGTGTGTCACTGCAGTACTGTAATTATGTGTGGAGGCTCAGTCCGAATCAGGATCAGTCGGTAGTCTGAGTCAAATACGCGCTCTAGTGTTTGTGCTGTGTGTCTTCTGTGGTGTGGCACGAGGGTTGTGAAGTTTGTGCACAGACCGCCCGGCTGGTGTGTTGTCCGATGTCTTGGCGCCGGACTCTTTCCCGATGTCCTCGCGCAAAGTCCTTCCCCGATATCTTTGCATCGGCGGCATGTCTTTGCATGCGTACCAAACGCCCTGACCTTTGTCCAGTAGCCTCTCGATTTGTCTGGCGGTGTTGTTTGGGGCATCTCCTGATGTCTTCGCATCGGAGGCCCTTGCCGATGTTTTTGCATCGACTTCTTCTCCTCTGCCTTTCCGCCGATTGATCTCTCCGCATGGACGACGCGTTCGACGCGTTCGACGCAGTGCTCTACAAGTCTTGCATATGCTACCGGAACCGTCTTTGCTGCTCTGTAACATTGCGACATTGCCTATGTTCATCGCGCGACGGGTCGATTCCCTCTGGGATCACTTCCGCAACGCCTTCGGTCTCGATTTGCTACATCCGGCAATGGCACGTAGCTGCTTCGGTCCCTGGTTCATTGCCTCCCACTGCACCGATTTCGATGTTTGCAATTCGTCGGTTTGCTACCTGGTCTCTCAGGTCTCGTCGTCGGTCATTTCGTCATCAACCATGATGACGTCTTCTCGGTAATCTCGCTTCATCCAGACCTGTGGACATGTCAGTACTTGGCATCGACTATTACAGAGGGGTCAATACTTACGCTATGGTCCTCTACAGGCATGTCGGAAAACATCTCTTTGACAACCTTGTGCCCCGGATGCGCGTCGAATGATCGGGCACGTCGCTTACGGGCTACCTCTGCCCTTGCGCGAGGTCTCTTCCTTGGGCTTTGCGATTGCTTCTGGACTCCCCTATCCTCCTTGGCGGTGCCATATGCGCTGTCATTGCTGTCGTTGGGCGCCACCCAAGGAACATCCCCATCGATCTTCCTCCGCTTGCTTGAGTACGCTTTGGAGGACTGAACTTCCCAAGTGTCGACATTTTCGTCTATCTTCTTCCGTTTGCTTGAGTCCCCCCTTGTGGAATGGCTCTCCCAAGGATCGACGTTCACTTTCGATGTCGCGAATTTGAACTCAGAAGGCTGCATGATTTCTGGGCCCTCAGGCATCTGCAGCCACTCCTTCACCACTTCGTGATCACGAGTATCGCTCATATATCCAGTGTCTTCTGGATCCGGACCTTCACCCGCCACTGAAAGGAAGCCAGACTCCTGGTCCCATGAGTTGCAATCGTGAACTCCTGCTTCTTTCGCCTCAAGTCGGGCTTTCTTCAGCCATTCCTCCCCTACAGTCAAGTAGTAACGGAGATGTCCCCCCGTTTTCAGGAAGGCTGCACCGAATCTCTGTTCTGCATCCGCTCTACTCAAGTGTGGGTTGCTCGAGCAGAAATTATCCAGCTTTTCATCAAACGTCTTGTAGTGCTGTTCGAACTTTTCTTTCCTCTCCCAATAACTCTTCTCACATCGCTCGAGCTTCTTGATGGCCTGCTCAATCCTATCCCACTCTTCTTTGGAACTTTTGACATACGGATCTTGGTGGGGAAGTGCTTCTCCGGTCTCTTGTTCGATTCCGACTTCTTGCACTTCATGGACTGTCCGACCATCAGCATCGACATCATTTCCTGGTTCAGCCATACCCTGCACCTCTTGCGGGTCTTCGAAGTGGATAGCAGAATAACTCGTTATGATGGATGGCGAGCCACCCCTGTCTTCCACTAGCGGGTCCAACGATACATCATGGTTGTCAGCAGTGATGTTGATGGACTGGCTCTCGGCTTGCTGATCAAGACAGCCATCGTCGAGAACAATGCTACGGACGTCGGGTTGCGAGGCCTCTACAGGCTGGGTACGGATGGGAGAGTTGCCGCTTTCGATTCTTTGGGCGGCGCCTGGCGAATTGTTCGACTGAACATTGTTCACTTCTGGTATGTTACTGTCTTGCTGTATCAGGGCTTGTCTGTGCTCGTGTATCTGGTTCACCACTTCTTCCTGGACGATATCATGCCCATGCTGCTCTGATATGATAGGATCACCCTTCTCCTTTGGCAAAAGAAACGTATTCTGGAGCTCCATCACGACTTCAGCAAATAAGCAAAGATTCTTATCGCGTTCCTTCGTAAGCGATTTGACCAATCGTTGCATCTCTCGTTTGGTCTTCATCGCTGCGTCGCGCTCGCGCAAGAAGACCTTCAGGCAACGTTGCTGGGCTTTCGTTTCTCCGCTGCCACTTCGATGTTGCATCCGATGATTTATCCTCTCGATAGCCGCCTCTTTGCATTGGATAGTCGACTGGGCGTCTTTTTCGTTCAACTTCACCATCGCGATATCCGCTTTGATCGAGTCCGACTTGGACCGGAGCTCCAGCATTGTTTCGTATTTGCTTCTTCCAGACTGGACGGAGGTGATCAAAAGCTGGGCAGGCAATGACGACATGTCGATTTTAGACAAGGTTGACTGTCCTCCAGCGCCATTACCGGTACGTCCATTATCGCGGGGAATGTGGCCTTCGCAGTGACGGAGGAGAGGAATATAGCCCGCTACCGCCCTGTACAGGCTTATCGCGGTCTTCAAAACACCATGAGTGGTAGACATGTCCAGAAGTTTGTGGTATAATGTAAGCCGGATGTCGAGTAAAAGCGTCAATCGTCAGATTACGAAAGCCGCCACGTTTGGATGTCTTATTCTCGACGAGTTTGATATTAAGGCGAGAAAGTTGTTGTAGGACAGACGATTACGGAGAGAGTGCGCAGATTCGACTACGCAAAATACTTTATAGGCTAGGTGAGCGTGGAATGTGCGCGGTGTCCCTCCGCCGCCCTATTCACTATGCAACGCCAAGAACTCGCTCATAGGTAAGCTGTTGCCATCTCCGAGAGCGACACGATACCACACAACCGAAGTAGCTCCAGCGATACCCCTTAGTACATGAACACAGCGGGCTAACTGTTTGCCATATCAGCGCAGAATCCTACACTGCGGAAGTCCAATATCCAGCGCCGACCAATCTAAGCGCTCGCTACGTCAGGCGGCTCTACCAGCGGCGTATACACTCTCCCAGAACTTTGTCACGACGTCTGCTCCGCAATCGCGCATCAACAGTCAAGCGCGCCAATGATGTTATCTGTACGAAAAGTCTCTGGGCCTGAACAAACTGGCGGGCCCCGGCGGAGAGAATCCCAGGAAACACGATGGAACAATCACGCCCCTGTCGACAAGGATAATTACAAGAGGGGCACAATTGTGAACTTCCCTCATGTGGTCCTTTGCGAAGCGAATGACCCCAATGCTGTCCAGACGTAGTTTGGCTGGTTTTGTTTCAAGACGAGATACGGTATCGTCATCGACAACACCACCGAACTTGAGGTCCTAAAGCTCGGCACTTCCGGAGGACGCGGACCGTTATCGAAGCCCATACAAGTCCGCGTGGATTGCTTCGGTCTCAAGAAAGCAGAAGATGCAGAATACTACTGCTGGGACGAAGAGCTGGGCAGTAAGGTCGCGTGCACCCCAGAAAAAGGCGTCTATGACATAGAAGTAGGTTGCCCATACCAACCCAAGACGGGCGCCTTTGGAAATGTCTTAGACGTTATTCCCCTCCCACATGATTCCCGTATCGAAGTGTGCGGAGAGATTAGGGAAGACGTCCTCAACGCGATTCTTAAGAAGCGCAATCGAAGACTTCTACAGAAACAAAGCACGAGCACCCCCAAAGACATGTGGATTGAGGAATTGGAGGCACGACTGGACAAGGACAAGCACAGTCACCAAGATATAGACGACAAGGTCCGCCCAGAGAAGACGAAGCAGGATCAGCAGCTCAGTCAAAATCGCCAACAGGGTGCTCAGCTCCATGTATGTCTTCTTCGAATGTTAGGTAGTTCTCGAGGTCAAAGCTGACATTGTTACAGGACCAAGGCCTACAAGGACGAAGTGTCAATGGAGGCTCCCGACGCCGAGCCCCCGACAGTGACACTACAATGAGGACAGCCCCTACCAAGCGCGCAAAGACCGATACCAGCATGCTCACACCCGCCCCCGCAATTCGAGACAGCAGCCAGGCCGAACCAATCAACGGGCAGCGCAACAGTTCTCGATGGCGCGGCCCGTCTTACCAGCTTCCGCCTGACCGCGTTAACGGAGCTCGACGCTTTACAGGACCTGGTAGCAACGACGGTAGCAATCGCCCCCCGCAAAATGCTCCACGACAACCACGCCGAGGCAACTCACGCCCTAGTCGACGGTCCTCTGGGAGCCGTGATAACATCATTGAGGACCAGGCGCGAGTCAACGGACGTCCAGAGCCGGCCCCAGGCAACGATAAGTGAAGCACCGAGACCCGGAGTCGGCGCAACAGTGGTACTGATGATCGGTATGGTAATGATGACTAGAGAGCATGGCTAAGGACTACAGAGTGTCTTGATATTCCCCTCGAGCAACACGAAGGTCGGAAGAAAGCGTGAGCTTTTCGTTACACAGAATTGAGATTCCTGGCTCTGGAGCTCTGAGAGATTCCATGCGATACCTATTCAGGGCGCTATATACCCATCAGATTCATGTCGACACGATTGCTATTTTGACTTACGCGTACTACCCCCTGACCTGCTTTGACTTCGGTACTCCGTGTCCTTCAAGCCACTGTACTGACATCTGCCTGATCTGCTCCTGCAGCTACTGGCTCGATAGGGTCTAGCGTTCTCTACGGCTTTCCCCAGCTCATTGGTCAGAAGTGTCACTGTCCAAGCCACAGACGTCTGCACAGCCCACACAGTCAGCAACATGTTGGCACGCGCATCTCCCCGCCTACATCTCACACATCTCGCATAACTCTCTCGTTCCGAAAGTCCAATGACATCCCACAACATCCCTCAGAACCCTCTCTTCAAAACCCAGCTTCAGAAACCTTGCTCAGAGCCCGTACGCCAATGCTTTCCCGCTTTTCGACCTTTTTTAGACGTGGAGTAAGTCTTATAAGTTCCTGTCGCATACAAAGCGCGTACTGACATGTTAGGTCGAGGCGAAACGCACCCATGGAGCGAACATGTCTTCCGCAGCAAACTCGATCGCGGACGACTACCAATATCAGCCATTAGACCATGCGACACAGCAGATACGACTGGTTACGCTTCTAGATCCGCTGGATAACGACGATGCTATACATTTTGACATCAACGTTTTCGAGATCTCTGAAGCCCCGCCATACACAGCCTTGTCCTATGTTTGGGGTCCACCATCAAGCAATACTGTCTACATCGCGACCGGAAGGCTTGAAATCCGAGATAATCTGTTCAAATTTCTCACTGAGTTTCGGAAATGTCGCGACAAGACACCTTCAGATCGGCACCTGTGGATCGATCAGCTGTGCATTGATCAGTTGACTACTGTTGAGCGCAGCCATCAAGTGCAAATGATGAGCGATATCTACAGCAAAGCTGCGTCAGTCATTACGTGGTTGGGCGACGGGTCCCAGAAAGCCGACCCTATGTTAGGCGTTGCCATACATGGATGCGATATGTTTGAAGATACGTACGATGCTGCATGTGTATGGAAGAATGCCGGAGAACTAGCGGCGTTTGCTTACGTGCTTCACAACCAATACTTTGGACGACTGTGGATCATACAAGAGTTTATTCTAGCGAGACAGATCAGGATCCTAGTCAAAGACGTCTGGCTGGTGAACGACACACGTGAATGGGAGTGCCGATTTGAAACCCTCGACCACTATCTTCGGCGCTGCGTACCTCGCACCTCGTATGAAATCATCTGCAAAAGTTCTTTGGGAAGAACCGGTGGGTTCATACATCTCAACATATGCACGGTAGTAGGAACTTATACGATAAATCAATGCGCAGATCCGCGCGACAAAGTCTACGGTTTGCTTGGTCTAGTTCGTGTTGATCAACGCGTCACAGTAGATTATAACAAGTCGGCTGATCAACTCTATCTGGACCTAATCTCAGTCGCGCTTCAAAGCCAATGTCTGGAGGAATCATCAGAAGCAGAAGTATTTGATGAGACGTTTACCTGGCGTCTTGGCGAGGTTGCACACGAGATGGACATCACATGGGCCGAGGAGAAAAATTTTGTTTACCAATTTCGTGCAATAGGGCTAAGTAACAGACTGGGACGATTTCGTGGTCATGCTTGTCCGATCACCGCGCTAGGTCTTGAAAAGGCCGCAACGACTGGTTGTGATGTAGATATATTTTGGTTTGACTTCCAAGGGACAAGACATTTCATTTACTGCACAGATAAAAAAACGATACCGGCAGATGAGACGAAGCGACTGTTGTATGAGGACTGGGAACAGTATGTTCCTCGAGATCATGCAGATGAGACATTGTAACTGTACTTACACGGTCGTCTTGCGATAGTAAACCGGGCACATCTTTAGAAGACCATCGACGTATGACGGGCTACAAGTTTATTTACGTTCTGACGACGAACTGGGTAGTGCGACACCCGCGAGTGAAGTGTCAGCTCTACGAATGAAGTTGACAGCGATATTGCATCTTCTGCCATGGTTTGACTCAGACTTCCATTGTGCAATTTTGGAGCGGTGTGCTTGCACTGTGATCATGATGTTTCGCTGGCCGCCTTTCTTTCACCGTAGTCAAAGCGGTTACATAACGTCCTCTGCCACTTTCCTCCTCACTATGCAACCTATTGGCCGACGCCTACTAAAGAGCACCATCGATATACAGCGACCCAGCAACCCACGACAGCGCAGCAATACCAATGAACATGTCTCAACGACCCAACATCGAGCTTTCCGGCATCGCGCCCCAACGCACAGGCGTTCCCGCAGACCACATCGATCCAAACCACCCCTACTTCCCTCACGACGACGAAGCCCAACTACCCCCACGCCCCTTCTACAAACGACACTCATTTTTCACCAAGAAAAGATTCCTCATCCCCGCCTGCACTATCCTCATTACAGCCCTACTCCTCGCCGCCCTACTTGGCGGCATCAAAATCGGTCTTTCCAGATGTCCCCACGAGCCACCTCCGGTCTACCAAACAACTACTGTGACACCCACATCAGCCCACACAACGCAAGAACTAACGACTATAACGACGACGGTGCGTACGACGCCTACGAAGACGGTACCGTTTGAAGCGCCTGTTCGACAGACGCCGGTGAAGCCGATGAAGCCCGTGGAGACGGTGTGTAGTGAGAAGGGGAGCTGGCCGACGGTGGAGGAGTGTAGGGGTAATTGCTTCAAAGATGGGAAGCTTGAGCGGGCGATGTGTGTGCCGTGGACTGGGGGGTTTACGTGTAGGATTTGCTCGGCTGCGCATGCGTAGGCTGAGTGGTTTGGAAAGGAGAGGCAGTGGACCTAGCAAATCATGCATTTTTTTCTATAATCGCCCCACGATATTATAAGACGTTGAAGGCAATTACGCAGTAAGCCATCGTCTCGTGAGTCTCTGCCGTGTCAACTTGCTGTGCTCATTTGGACTCGATTTGAACGCTGATATCTCGAGAACGCGTCGCTATAAGGTGCGTCTTGACTTTGGCACGGCGGTTTTCGAGAGTACGAGACCGGAGACAATTGAAGGCATCGATTCGAGGAGGTATTTCAGCGTCTCTCCGTACGGTAGCTAGACTGGTCGACAGTGAATGGGCGTATAACATGATATCTCCCATCCACCCACTCTAGTCATCCGCGCAAACATACAATGCAGTCTGGATCATCTGAACATATATCAGATGGTTTTTGAACATTGCGTATCCTCATGGCTACCCGGCGCGTCGACAACACGCCCGAAAGCTTCTTCCAGGCGAACGATCAGAACCGCCCTAAATACGCCAGTTACTGCGCGATTTCGCGAACGCGAAGCACCAGAAGTGAATGAGGCTTTTGAGGCTTTTTCTGTCAGGCAGTGACGCGCGCACAGTCCCAACTTGTTAAGCCTTGTTTTGAAGTCTTGAGTTTTCCCCTTCCTTGGCGTATATCTTGCTCAATTCAGTCCGCGACCAGCCGCGCCACCGTCACCACGCCTTGAAACCTCTACTCTGAGAATTGGAAGGACTTGGTCACAGCAACCCTTTCGATCTGGCGCGCGCTCAGGACTGTAACGCGTGATATCTGCGCATCTGACTTCGCGATTATACCCGGCAAACATAGTCGACACCGCGCCGTAAGTTTTAACGCTATCGACTTCTGGACGCGATGACAGCGCTGCAACCCTTTTAATCATCTTGTCTATCCAACTCGACGTTTGAATCTCGTTGACTAACGATTTCTCTGAAGGGTTCCTCCACCATCCGCCACGACTCTGCTCGTTCAGCGCATACCCCCACGCATCCCAATACATACCTTGTACGCACCCGATAAACCTACACAAGAGGACAAAGACGCAGGAAGATGTCGCCCCATCTGATTGGTAGCCTCGCCCGCGGGGTTCCCAGCGCGGATGAGATGCCAACACCCCAGAGCAAGGCCAAGGTCAAGGTGCCCGCCAGCAGCCCGCCGGAACACGTTTCGAATACCGAATCCACCGCAGTTGATGAAGATAGCGATGGCGAATTGTCGGACGACCCTGCACCCTACGCCGGTCGAGAGCTAGTCAACAAGGAGCTTACACCGAAAGAGACGTTCGCGCCCCACGACACCGACCCCACCAAGATCGAGGCGACTTTCAAGATCCAAATGCCCGACGGCAAGAGCTGGTTTATACAGAAGAACGTAATCCCGGAGAAGCGCGAATCCGCCGACCGTGACTTGTACGAAGCCGATGACTGCATCTTCTTCCCTGACCTCGAGAGCTGCAAGGTCCCCAAGAAGGACAAGGAGAAGAAGAACAACCCCGTGGTGGAGTGGAACAAGATTAGCGAGAACCGTTGGGAGCGGACTTTCAAGGGCATCCATGAGGTCTTCACCCCAAGCATCGCCCTCCGCCGCTTCAACGCCCGTACCCGCGCATACGAACACGTTCACGTTGGCCAGTCGAAACTCACCAACATCGACCCCAACGACAAGAAATGGAAGGACGCATACAACAAGTGGATTGATCAGATCTCGCGCCGGTCCAACGCCGCCTACGAAAAGAAGAAGAACCGTGATCACTGGACCGTCCCAGAGATCTGCGCTATGTACACTGGCATCAACGACTTCGTACACACCAAGGGTTTTGACGCGTACGACACCATTACCACCGCCGACTTGTCCAAGATCGTTGAAGCCATCAACAAGGCTGGTGGAAAGAATCGTGGTCTGGACGCTCTCCGAGGACAGATCACGTCTGCTCATGAGACGAAGAACAAGACGATGGCGTATCTTCGTGAGAACGCCCGAGACTTTCGACTGCTGGTTGAAGGTGGCGGCGTGGTGAGCAATGAGGAGCGGTACCCTAAACACATGATCCCTCTGTCAGAGTTTCCAGTTGAGAAGCGCGCCAATCACCGAAAAGGCACCGGTAAGCCCAAGACATACAAGCCCAAGTTCCGATCTGTGAACACACAGACTGGCGATGACATTGTGGTTCACGAAGACTACGACGGTGCCGGCATTACTTCGACTGCAAGCAAAATCTCCAAGAAACGCAAGCGCGATGCTCCGTCATCCGACGGCGGCGAAGTCGGGGATCAGACCGAGCTTCCTGCTGACGAGAGTGACGAAGAAGAAGTCGAGCATGGCTACGGCAGCGACGCTGGCGAAACCTCAGACGAGGAGGAGGAAAACGGTAGTGAGGTCGAGCACATGAAGGAGGCAGAGAATTTGGAGGAGGCCGCAGACGTGAAGGCCGTGGATATGGAGGTCGAGGACAAGAAGCCCGAGGTCGCGAAGGCAGCAGATGTAGCGGCCGACGCCCTTCCACCAGCCAAGAAGCCACGTGTGACTGACCACGCCATTGAGCTCGCCCGCCAGATGCTCGAGGACGATTCTGATTAGTAGTTGGTCGATACACCTGGGACGGTCGAGATCAAGATAACGACCTGAGGCTGGTGTAGCGAGAGCTCGGTAAACGTTCGATGCGGGCGTTGAAGCTAGAGAAAGGTACAAACGACGTTGTCAAATATTGAATAAACGCACAGCAACAAAGCGGCTTCACCACTAGCGACTGTTGGGAACGTACGTACGTATGGATAGCATAATGTAGGCGTAGAATGAATGAGAGCAAAACTCCGCGTGACCCTTGTTCCTGAATATGCATGCCGCTGGAGTCTTCTCTGTCTTTCGCGCTCGAGCCTGAGAGATCTTTTCGCGAGGGCAACCTTGGTTGTGTACGTTGGGGGACAGATATGTCGCTGGAGTGAAACTATGCTTCTAATAGTAAGAGACACAACAGTTTGCGAACGACTGTATCGAGAGCCAGGTGAGGTAGACGGAGAGTGGCAAGGAGTTAAAATTGACGAGAAGAACGCCTGTGACGACGGCATGGCCGCGCGTCGCAGGGTGGAAGGCGCAAACGGTTGCATTGTACTACAAACGTAATCAAGGTGGGGTTTGCAGTGCTAGAAAGCATGTCGCAACTCAGTTCCTCAGGGGTCATCAACACGGTAGATGGTATGGATGAAGATGATGGATATTGATGGCATGCAAAGGGGTAGCTGAGCATGAAAGGAGGTGCGAAGAACATACGGCAGGCGCGACGAACCTGCCCCGCAGCATCGCCCACAAAAGCACACTAACCGCAGAGCCTTCCCCCACCAAAGGAAACTTGACGCGACATCCCGCCTCATTGCAATTTTTGCGTAAATTTCAAGACTTGCGTTCGCAAAAAGAGCGAAAGTCACTCCAGAAAACATGTCAGACACCGAATCAGACACCGCGAGCTCAGTTGGCAGCATCGTCGAAGACGCAAGTGAGCCGGATACGACTACTTTCAAAGATCTATTTTCGGATCGACAATGGACTCGCGTGTCGGATATGGTAGAGCACAACAAAACTGAGAACGGGTTCGATCTGCCCGCAACCATCAAAGGACTTGGACCAGGTACGGCTCACAATGTTGACCTCGGGAACGCTCATCTACACGTTCTACGCCTTACCCTTTTCGGATGACTACTGACTGTCTGCACTAGACGCTGACGAGATCACCATCATCAAGCTGATCAACTACCTCCGGTCAGAAGCACAAAAAGGCACAGACCCCAAGAGTATCAAAGTAACTCTAGATGATCTCACAAGCGACAAATACCTACAGCCAGTACTGGAAGATGACGCGTTACTCTTCGAACTTGGAGATCTCATGCCAGATGACGACAGCAAGGCCATCGACTACGACGAGTATGAAGCGAAGATGCACAAAGACATGCAAGAAGACTTTTCCAAGATCAAGCTCACCAACGATCGGGATCAGGACTACTTCGAATCGTACAAGGGTAACAGTATCCATCGTGAGATGATCGAGGATCGCGTACGGACAGAAGGGTACCGTGACTTCATCGAGAAGAACGCCGAGGTATTTGCCGGAAAGACCGTGCTTGACGTCGGATGCGGTACTGGTATTTTATCCCTCTTCTGCGCACGTGCAGGCGCGAAAAAGGTGTTCGCAGTCGACAACTCTGGCATCGCTGTCCGCGCGAAGGAGATCATTGCGAAGAACGGCTACCAAGATCGCATTGAACTGATCCAAGGCCGCGCTGAAGACTTCAACACCCAGCGGTTAATTGGCAAGGAGAAGGTCGACATTATCATCTCCGAATGGATGGGCTACGGTCTCCTCTTCGAAGGCATGTTGGATTCGGTCCTGCGCGCTCGAGACATGTACCTCAAGCCTGACGGCATCATGGTACCATCCCACTGCAACATCCGTCTTGCACCAATCTCGGATGCCGACTGGATAGCAGACAGCACGAGTGAGAAGTTCTGGAAAGACATCTACGGATTCGACTTTTCACCCATGATCCCAGGTGGTCTGCTCAACACACACGAAATCGGTGTGTTTGATGTGCCTGAGAAGGCACTTTGCGGCAATGCAACGAGCCATCTGCTGGAGATGAAGACTGTGTCTGTGCAAGACCTGAGCTTCAAGGTCCCTCTTCGCATGACACTCGACCGCGACATCACTTCTCTTCAGGCCATTGCGATATGGTTTGACACGATCTTTATACACCCTGGCAGCTCGCAGGATGTCAAGACGCTTGACAACGTTGATTGGGGCAAGAACGGTATTCCTGGTCTGGGTTTCTCGACGGGCCCGAGGAACACACCTACGCATTGGCATCAGGCAGTACTGCTGCTCGATCCAGAGGTCGCAGAGAAGCAAACATATAAGAAGGGTACAGTGTTGGAAGGTAGCCTGACGTATGCGAAGGAGAAGGGCGATGATCGCGGTATTACAGTGACGGTCGAGTGGAAGGGCAAGGGCGAGCAGGGCGATGTTGAGGGTAAGGTGCAACGAACGATGGCATAAGCCATGCGCGAGTATGAACGAGAATAGATGTAGATACCAGATACCACAAAGACGCGTCTATGTATCCTAAGCGCGACACGTCGATGCCGGGCCGACATTTCTGATTTCGCGCTAGTGTTCCGATTCCGAAATGCACGCGGAAGGCTGGCAGGAACCCCGAGGCGTCGACAATGCATCTTGACTCCGCGCAACACCCCAAATGCTGCGATAGGGCGATTTGTATCCTTCCCCGCCCGTTCGATTCGCTTGCAGTAATAGCTGTGCCGCATCTCTTCTCCACGATTGCCGATGTCCGAGGTGACGACATACCACGTGGATCGTGCGCGTGAGCTTCAACATTCTAGGAACCCTAGGTGTCGCATCTCGTACCGCGAGACACCGGAAGCATAATATACGCCCACACATACTACTGTCGACTGGACACTACTTGACATCCAGTGACTGCCTAATAATGCGCAATCAACGGTAGCCGAGCTCGATAACTTCTATGCGCGGTATCCTCCCTGGGCGACCCCAGGCTAAGCTCCAAGCTGTCGCTCATGGCCTGTGGGAAGGCCTCCAGATAATCGTATGACTACACGCTTTACGACGCGCACAAAGGCTGACTCGCTCTTCACATAGGTTTACATCTCCGGTAACGCGCTGATCATCCTCGATCGACCCAACCACGTCCTCCAAACCATCTACATCGACGAGGAATTCGAGCTAGAGGCAGTCGCGATCGACGAAGGCACCGGCAAGCTCGCGGCATGTTCGACGCGACACATATACATATACCGGCCATACGGGCAGGATGAAGGCGCGATCAAGGTGGGCACACAAGGAGGGGCAGCTGGGAATGACTGCTGATATGCGCAGTGGTCGCAACAGGGCAGCACGTCCCTGTCTGACGCCGATGATACGATAACGACCCTTTCATGGGGCATGCCAGATGAATTGCTCGTCGGCAGCGCATCCCTCACCCTCTTCAACACGCACAGCGACATCGAACGGATTTGGACAAAGCAGCTAGCGAACCCCGTCAAGTTTGCCCACTTCTCGCCCGATGCCGAGTTGATAGCTTCGACAGGCAAGTACGACCGCCTCCTCAAGATATGGCGACGCACATCCTTCGGTTCGGCCGATCAGAGCTTCGACTACTTCTACCTCCCACACCCCAAGGCCATCACAGGCTTGCATTGGCGGCACCCGTACCACAAAGACCAGTCCACGGACAACGTACTATACACAATATGCGCGGACCAGAAGGTGCGAGTCTGGGTACCGGGCGAGCATCACGGCGTAGATGGCATGCACATGTGGGCTGAGGTGGACCTTGTCGAGTCGATAATGTCACGGCATGTGCCACTGGAGCAACAGTCGAAGAAGCGATATGCCTTTTTCATCGACGGCAAGCACTTCACACACGCGACGGAAAGAGCGATGCAACAGGCCTCGGCAGAAGAGAAAGACCACGGCATCGCGCTGCATCACCTAATAGAAGTCGCGAATCGCAACCCGGAGATATGCGTTGTACTGGATGATAGAGGCAACATGTCTGCGTGGGGTTTTGAGAACGTAGGTGCAAAACAGAAGAAAGTCACCGACGTCTTCAACATTGCGCATGTCGATGGACTTCATTTACACTTCGCAAAGGAACCGAAACCCATTGAGGACAATGTACAATTCTACGCGTTTATCGGCGACAAACCGGACTCCGAGTTGATCCTGCTATCACATCACTTTGACGGGCGAATCGAGTGGCTAGAGTCGCGCATCGACTATTTGTTCGACCCTTCTTCACAGCCACAGCGCATTTCGCGCAAGGCTATGTGGACCGGACACTCGCATGCCATCAAGAAGGTCAACCGCACAGCCAGTGGAAGAGCATTGGTATCGCGGACCACGACAGATGAATGCATTGTGTGGCTACAGCGGCAGAGTGATCAGGGCATGACGTTACATCGACACTGCAGCGTCAACGTGACGGAGCACATACATCGTACTGCTCTCTTACAAGAGGGTAACTTCATTGTCTTCCTACATCATGACGAGATCTCGCTTTGGGATACCCGTGGCCATGAAGCCGTTGAGATGACACGGCTCGCATACAAACTCCAGGGTAAACCTCTGTGTCTGCTAGTGATACCAGAGGTCGAAGTTGGCGGACAGCGCATACACATCGCCACCATCAGTGCCGAGATGAAAGGTATCTGCTGGGAGGTCATACTGCCAAAACCGGAGCGAGATGCACTTGTGGGTGAGGAACAGCCCGCCATCGCGCACACCAATGGCTATACCAACGGTCATTCAGAGATTACGCTCAAGGAGTTCTCCACATTCAACCTTGGATCTGGCGACGACCTTGCTTTTGTACTGCCTGTAGATCCCGCTGGTACAGCACCCGTAATCTCGGGTTTTCTTGACACCTTTGCGCGAGACATAGCCATCTCATACACAAAATCCGGAATCATCAAATCCTGGACTGCGCGTGTCAACATCGAAGATCGAAAACTGGACTGGCTGTTGACTTCGGAGGTCGAGACTGGCGTCAAGAACCCATCACTTGCTAGTGGCACGTCGATACGTAAGGCTGCGTTGGCCGATGCTGATCGAACTACGCTCACTATATGGAATACCCGAAGCGCTCAGTTGGAACATGAAGAGACATTCGAAGGCAGCGGAATCATCCAGGATCTCGACTGGTCTTCTACTCCAGACAACCAGTCCATACTTGCTGTTGGCTTTCCCCACCGTGTCGTCATCTACGCCCAGCTGCGATACGATTACCTCAACGCCGGTCCATCTTGGGTACAGATCAGTGACGTGCGCATTCGCGACATCACGCCACATCCGATCGGCGATTCGGTATGGCTAAGCAGTGGAAATCTGGTCATTGGTGCAGGCAACCAGCTCTTCATTCAAGATGAGCATGTTCAGGTGTCCGAAGGTCTGTTCCCTAGCTTATGTACCATCTCACGGAAGACGGCATCTATCGACATCTTCGATGCAGTTAGTAGGCTCAACGGTCCTCTACCCGCGTACCACCCCCAGTTACTTTCACAATGCGTCTTGGCTGGCAAGTTGCTACTGGTGCAGCGCATCCTGATTAGGCTTTACACTACACTTAAGTTTTGGATCGAAGGCGAAGAGCTTGATAGCTCGCTGGGATTCGCACCTGAAGACTTCTCAGAAGCTGAGGCATGTACATGAACAGCTCTATCTGGATCTAACTAACCTTTGCAGACTCACATGACTGCATCTCGAAAAGAGGTGCATTCATCATACGCCGATTTCTCCGACGATAGCGAGCCTGAAGCAGTCACTGAAGAAGTCGCCTCTAGTCTCAAAGAACTCCTGACCACTAAGCGGATACCGCTCTTGACCAGTCGCGAACAGTTTCGCTTGGCCGACATCATCGAGTGTATTGGTATGGTAGAGAAGCACCGTCGATCGATTGACGATAATGCTGGTCGCTTCTTGCTGTTCTTCCGACAACATGTCCTCAGCGAAACGCACAAGGGGCCCATCTCGTGGCGCGAGATTATCTGGGCGTTCCACTCAGGAAGTCAGGATATTCTTGTGGACCTTGTTAGCAGACATTTTAGCGGGAAGATGATGTGGCAGCACGCAAAGGAGTGTGGCGTGTTCATGTGGATGTCCGACATCAACGCATTGGTACGGTACACTCTTCCTTGTCGGTAAACATTGCTAACGACATCTACAGCGCGCCCAATTCGAGGTCATTGCTCGAAACGAGTACACGAAAACCGACGAAAAGAACCCCGTCGACTGCGCTCTATACTACATGGCCCTCCGGAAGAAGCCAGTTCTAGTCGGTCTTTGGCGAATGGCTACTTGGTCGAGAGAACAGGGCGCAACTCATCGACTATTATCGAACAACTTCAACGAAGACCGCTGGAAGACCGCTGCTCTTAAGAACGCTTACGCATTGATGGGCAGGAGAAGATTCGAGTATGCTGCATCGTTCTTCTTACTTGCAGATCATCTACAAGACGCTGTCAGCGTTCTCCATAATCAGCTCGGTGACACCCAGCTCGCCATGGCAGTCGCCCGCGTCTACGGCGGTGATGACTCGCCCATCTTACTGGACTTCTTGAGGGATAAGATTCTGCCCCAAGCTGCTAGAGAGGGCAATCGGTGGCTAGCAACATGGGCATACTGGCTATTAAACAAGAAGGACATGGCCGTTCGCTCGCTGGTCACACCGTTGACAACTCTACTTGAGACCTCCGAACCGCCCAGTTCAGCCGCTAAATCGTACCTCACCGACGACCCCGCCTTGGTAGTCCTGTACAAGCAACTCCGCGAGAAGTCGCTCCAAACATTACGTGGAGCCACAATGATCGGCATGCGCGAAGAGTGGGACTTTGTGCTACACACAGCCGGCCTATACGACCGCATGGGCTGCGACGTCCTCGCCCTCGATCTAGTCAAGACGTGGGAATTCTTACTCCCACCACCGCCCACAAAAGCAACATCCGGTCGTCCACCGCTAAGCCCCTCGATGCCGCGTCAAAGCTATCAATCGCAAGGCAGAAACCAATCTGCGACGGACTTTGACTTTGATCCTAGGAAGCTACTTCGCAGGAGGAGTTCGCTTGTTATTGCTGATTTACCGGTTCGAGAACATGCTCATAACGAACTGGCGGAAAGTAAGGGGACGCTCGAAGAAAGTAGGGAGAGTGGTGAAGAGGATGACGAGGAAGAAGGTGAAGAGGACGAAGAGGATAAGAACGATGAGAAGCCTAACGAGGAGCCGAAGAAGAAACCGCCGCCGACTCAGTTCAACGAGCCGGATGCGAATAGTCTGTTGGATGCTTTCGGGTTTTAGTAGAGCTGGTCGATTGATACATTGTGGTTCTATTACGATGGTCGCGGGATAGTGGCATGGCTGGGTGTTCTGAGTGGTACTTGGTAGGTATCATAGTTGGCGCGTGTATTCTGCACGTGGCTGCTAGTATCAAATCTCAGGCTTTGTTGTTTTATTCAAGATCGTCAAGTTATGGAGATTGTGTATTACATCAGCCGCAAAACACGACATTGATGTCAGATACTTGTAGCAACGCATGAAAGTAAAGAGGCGTGGCGATGTCAAAATTGATCTAGAATAAGCCCCGAGGGTTGTGCTCGAAAAGTGGGTGTGGTTAATGGTGCAATGCAAGATCCGCATGTAAAGATAGGTAAACCAACGGGTATCTTTTCTTAGTGTGTCATACTAAATAGTGCTGGGAGCTGCGTTACAAGTTACCAAATGAGTGCTCCATGTCATCCTGCCACATCCATCAAGCTACCAGACTAGACAAAGAATGCAGCAGCAGCAGCGCCAAGTCCAGCCAACAGCGGCGCACCCCTGACCATCGGCGCACCAGCCTCCGTCACCTCAGGCACAGGCGCAGTCCCAGAAGCACCTGTCGCGTTCGTGGGAGCACCCGTAGACATGGCACTCGACATCGTCGGTGTAGCCGCAGCAATAGCTTCCAACTTCTCCGTTCCCGCAGTGATAACAAGGTAGTAAGTTCCGAATTCCGTCGCAGCGATCTCCACCTCAGAAACATAAGGTTCGTCAGGCGTACCACTCTCACTGCAGTAGGCTGGCTGGGAGACGGACGAGACAGCAGAGCCATAGCCATAGCTCAAAGTTTGCCTGACTGTCTCTGTGCCTGCAGGTTCAGAGCCGCGCGCAGGATACGTGTGTGTTCTCGTCCAAATCTCCTCAGTTGTCGAGATGTAAGCGGTGTTTTGGCAGAGAAGACTAGCGAGGCCCGGAGGGTAAGATACTGTGCATGTGCGGTTCGAGCCTGCTTCTTCGGGGGTCGGCCAGGTGCAGTCGAGTGCGTAGGTGTCGTCCTCATCGTCGTCGCCGGAACCGGCGATGCCAACGTCGACTGTGGTGCCGTAGTATTCGGGACCTATGGTCATGGTCATGGGACCGTTGACACCGATGCTGAGAGCGTCTAGATCGGTTCCTTCGTCGTATTCGACGGCGACGGTGGTGTGGGTTTCATTGGCGTTGATGACGGAGCCGACGAAGCCGATGTTGTCTGTTCCGAGGCCGTTGGAGGGCATCCAGAAGGAGGTTGTGACTTGGGCTGATGCGCTGGCTGCGAACAGCATGGTTGAGAGGAGGGATGCCATTGTGGTGGTGGTGGATTCAGGTGTAGTGGAAGATGGTTTGTGATGTGCACAACACCAACGTTTTTCCACGAGGTCTTCACGTTCCTTTAAGCATCGTGGGATTGTCGCTGGGGATACTCACCGGTAAGCCAAGCCCAGGGCGCAGCATCTTGGCTTGGACGGTTACAGCGGCTATCATCTCAATGAGTTGGCGTTCTGCTCAAATGACTGGAATGTGGCGGAAAACCTGCTGTGTTGGTTTACCACATATTGGCGCTGGTGGCCTTGTTTACAACAGAGCCTAAGTCCGTAGGTAACTCGGGTCTCGTAAGCGTTTCATGGTAATTGGCCAGCTTAGCGATGCAGTTGCGGCTGTGCCTGGCTGTCACGGATGTATGATCCGGGCGTAATAGGTGGAACTCGGATGGATAAACGGCAGAGGTCATCCGTTGTGTTAGCAATGTGATTCAGCGACTTGACGACCTAACCCGTTGTAAGGCCTCTGATCGGTGTGGAATACCAAGACCGCTTGCCTTACGAGCCAAGACTCGTAGGGGGCTGTGGAAAGATCGTCTCGTGTGAAGTCGACCCAAAGCATTGCAGCGACACTCTGCTAAGTTCGACGGGGCGACACGACTCTTGGTGATGACCTTTTCGTCGACTTGTGAATGCGCCTCTTTCTACCACGCTGTGAACCCTATCACGATTCGAGAGATGTCGTGCAATCGCAACAGCGCAGAGAAGTCGGGTCGGTGAGTCTTTGACATCCAACAGCGAGCTGATTAGTGATAAAAGTCGCACTCGCTCGCAGCAGTGAGCACTTCATGATGGAGATGGACGTGAGGACGTTCCTGTTGTCGTCCGTGAAAAAGGTCTAACATGACACTGAGAAGCGAAAAATGTGGAATAGTAACGGTGTGATATTTGAGAAGTTGATGGGTAGCCTTATCGTTGAGATTTGGTAGATGGCACCCGTGGACGCCCACCAGAACGAAGTGTCACGTGAGCGCACAAGTGGGTCCTCGTCGTTCGGCTTGAAGGTATCGCCGAGTGCGCGTCATCGCGCCGGATTGGTAATCCATCTCAACACGCGTCGAATGGAGGCGATATACTGTGTAACGTCACACTTCAACACCACATACCTACCACGATGCCTTCTCAACGCGACTTAGAAGGCGGTAGCGTGCCAGACGAGCGCGCGCCCTTGCTCTCGCATGATGCCGCGCGTCAGCACACGCCCACACCATCGGAAAGCGACGAAATCATCGACCAACCGGAAAAGGCAGCATCCAAGACCTGGTATTATGTTTGGAGAGGCATCCTTGCCGTTTTCGCGATACTGGTCGTTGCCGTCTTCATCAAAGGCTGGATAGAGGCCGATGACGTCGATGTATGTTCCTCTGCACTGTCGCGGCACATATAATCTCCAAAAGCTCACAGCATGCGTAGTTCGATCTGAAAGGCGCACTGAAGCGTGCATTAGGTGGGGGCTTGAGTGGTGCTGCGGCGATGATACTGCAAGTGTTGCTATTGATGCCTATCCGCACGATCATGAACTACCAATATCGCCATGGCACATCGACGACTGTCGCAACTAAGACTCTGTATGCCGACGGTGGTATAGGTCGATACTACCAAGGTATGGGTGCTGCGCTCTTTCAGGGGCCCATCGCTCGATTCGGAGACACAGCCGCCAACGCTGGTATCCTGGCCTTGCTGCAGTCAAACGGCTTCCTGAAGCAGCTTCCTTCGCCCATTCAGACGATCTTTGCATCAGCGTGCGCTGCAGCTTTCAGAATGCTACTAACACCAATCGATACCTTGAAAACTACCTTACAGGCCCAGGGAGCTAGTGGCTGGGGTCTCCTCCGACAGCGCATTAGGACCGACGGCATCGGCTCTCTGTGGTGGGGTGCTTTCGCAACCGCAGCAGCGACCTTCGTTGGACACTATCCCTGGTTCGCCGTATACAACTTCCTTTCCGAAACCATTACAGAGCCATCAAGACAACAGATCGGATGGTGGTTACTACGGGCGGCTTTCATCGGTTTCTGCGCTTCGGTCGCTTCGGACACCATATCGAATTCGTTGCGCGTTGTGAAGACCTATCGACAGGTCAACGATACGAGAATATCCTATACTGAGGCTGCCAAGCAGGTTATCCGTCAAGACGGAAGATTGGGTCTATTTGGACGCGGATTGAAGACGAGAATCATCGCCAACGGTCTGCAGGGCATTCTGTTCTCCATCTTGTGGAAGCTGTTCTTGAAAATCTGGGAAGACAAAACGGGTTGAGCGCGACTGCGATTGGGTCGACAAATTTGAGACAAATGAATTTCGGGTTGACTACTGCAATGTGCGAGTCATACGTACAACGAGACCTCTTTTTCGACGTGCAACACCGTCGGCGACATTCGTACTGGGGCCAAAGGTACCGGCTTAAACATCTCCGTATCCGATACTAATCCTGATCACCTCAGCTAACTCGCTTCGTCTTCTTCGCCAACATATCCCCCGCATCGTTCTCATCCCGCTTCCTCTTCGGTGACGGCCGCCTGCTCTTCTTCCCCTCAACATCCAAGGCCGCGTTCTTACCAACCTCAGTCGGGTCGTCAACCGCAACCGACTCATCCACCTGAAACTGCCTCAGCTCGTCCTCTGTCACATTCGGAACAAACAAAACACCGCCTGTCTTCCCTTCTAGAAGTCCTCTCATGTTCTTCCTCTCTGTAGCAACTTTGCTAACCCTGCCATCAAGCTTTCCACGGATGGATGACACGTCGCGCTGTGGTCTAGAGGGTGCATCAGCACCGTTCGCGTCTTTGAGCACCTTGCCTTCGAAAAAGGCGTTGAACGCTTCCATCACTGAGACTGGACCAGGGAGTTTGATGACGTGACCCGCATCGATAGTTGCGCGCAGCTTTCTGTGGAAGAGCGTCATCCAGGCGTCCTCCAGTGGAGTGTACGGGTACGCAGCCTTCTTGGTGCCGATTCCATGTTGCTTGAAAACGTCGGTGCGCCATTGTGTTATCGCGACGATCTGGGGCTTGGACTTCCAGTCGATGTCATCTTGCTCGACGTCGGTGTACGTGACGGTCTTGGACTCACCGGTCACGTTGTTATGGAGTTTGATCGTGAGCTTGTGGACAGACTTGTTGCCCGTCCGTGGGGCGTCGATGTTGCCGTCTACCACCTCCCATCCGCTAGCTTCATCCGAAGAGGAAGCAGGACTGGAGCTTCGCTCAGCTTTAGCGTCGACCTTGAGGTTATCGCGGCCGGTGCCTTTTGTCAATGTGTCTCCTGTGGCCGGCGGCTGGGTGGATGTCTTGGTAGACTTCTTTGGCGATGGCAAAGACTTTCCAGGCACCGCGGACTTGCCAGGCGAGGAGCCGAAGACAACTTTGAGTTCCTTCTTCTTCGTTGTCTTGAGCTTGGTTTGAACACCTTTCTTCTTGTCCTCCGTCGCAGAGTCAGATTCATCTCCGTCCTCGACGTTGTTGATGTAGTTCAGGTAGCCGTTGTGCTTGAAGTACTTTTCGTCCAGTACATTGTCGGTATCATCCGGCTCTCTCAAAGGTTTCGCATCGTCAGCAGGATCAGATGGGAAATCCGCCACCGAGTCTTCATCGCCTTCCTCGGGTACTTCGCCTGCGTGCGCCGTTGATGGCTCGTCTGTGGGCGTCTCTTCGATAAAGTCTTCGTCGAAGTCTGGATCGTTGCTTGACCGCCATCCCGAGTCTGTCTGGAAACCGGCGGTATCCCATGAGGGCTTATCTATGGATATCTCCTGGCTGAGGTTCTCGCCGAACGCTGGGTCGTTGATGGAGCGCCATCCGGACTTGGTCGGAAACCCGGCAGGGTCCCACAAAGACTTGTCGATGGGTTGCCATTCTGATGTAGGAGACGCCTCGAGCTGCCGAGGGGACGACTGCATCTCCTGCGGTAATATCAGCGCCTCCAGTTCCGCCAGGTCTTCCTCTTCGTCCACTGTATCATGGTGGTCGTCCATCTGAAACGGCCCCGCCTTCTCCTGCTCAGCGGTTTCCGTGGCGTCGAGGTCTTGGATATCGGAGAGGCGGCGTGTAGAGCGCGGGAGTGGACGATTGCGGTCGATTTTAGCCGTATGCGATGAGCGTGTAGGACTCTTAGTGGTATTATCGGTGTGGCTAAAAGCGTCAACGAGGCTACTGGTCGCGCTGTATCCTTCGGGCTCAGTGATCTCCTTTTGAAGGTCTCCCGCAGAGGCGCGAATCCCGGTATGGGGTGGAGACGACGGCGGATCCACGTCAAGATTTGCGGTTGGTGTCTGGCTCATGGTGTAGGTTGCGATTGTGGTTGGGGTGGAGCAGTTGCGCTGGTGGTGTGGTTTGCGGTCGGAGTAATGGGCAGTCCGAGTTGCAACGACTGTGAAGTTCAGTGATTTAGGGGGGTTGCGGCTGGGGTGATGGTGAACAGATACTCTGGTAGGTCATGCTCTATGCGAGTAGAACGCGGTGGACACTCCTTTGCAGTTTATGTCAGCAAGCCGAGCTCATACAGGGTTCTGGACATGGATCGGAGCTACCCGTTGACAGTACCGGTGTAGAGGTCACCCACCAGCTTGGCACTGTTTAAATGCCGCTGCTCGTGCTTAGTCTTAATCTCGACATCTTCTCGACGCGTCCGAACACGACCGCTGCACAGCGCCCCCTACGCTGTGCGCTCACACTTCGCTTGTACGCACCTCCGAGCACCGCATCCGCATCCAAAGACACCCGTTGCATGCGCTGAACAAAACTTCACAGACGCCATGGCCCCAGCCAGCAGCAAGAACCACCCCCCTTGGGCGACGACTGAGCAGACCTCTGCGCTGAGAGCCCACGTCGTCTTTCAGCGGCATAAAATGGTGGTACCTCCAAGGATCCTACCAGACGACGTTGAACGCGCCATTCAGATCCTGGATCAGCACGACCCGTCAACAGCGAAAGCGGATGCTAAAGGCCTCAAGCCAATTGATTACGCCAAATACGCGATCAACGACCACTTGCGGCCAATGGCTAACGCAGCTGGCATGCACAACCTCCATCAAGAAGGAATAAAGAAAGGCAAACTAGTTGGACTACTGACAGACTGGGATCTACAAAACGTCCCGCTTATGGCGGCTCTGCTACCGCGCTCGGACAAGGCCACTAAGCCCGTCGTCCCTAAACAGGTCGTTTGAATGCGAAAGAAAGCCGAAACGGAGCCAACGGAGTCGAAGAAACGCAAGGCTGTGCCAACTAAAGTCACAGCGGCGAAGAAGCCCCGGAACGATGGCAATGCTTCTCCAGGGGACCACGATGTCGAAATGGAGGACCGAAACGAACCAGATGGCGGCGATTCCCTCCCACAAACTGCTATCGAGGGCAGCACATCGACTCGAACACTCGCCCGGATGCGAACGCGTTCCCGTAGGCCTCGAGATGGCCAACCACATGCTACCGAGACGCACCTCGAAGCAGACAAGGGCATGGCTGCACTGTCGCTGAGGGAGTTTGGGGAAGACAAGGGCAATAGTACGGACGATGCATTGACCCACAACCGCGAAGGAGACGACAAGAGGCTCGAGACTGAGGCTGGAGAGGTGCAAGTGCCAGCTTCAGAGCGACATAGTACTAGAGGGCGAGCGAGTGGGCGCGGCAAGGGCAGCAAGAAGAAGACTGAGGAGCAGATCGCAGAGGAGGAAGAGCGAAAGATGCATAATGCACGGCGGCTCGGTCGCTACTCCGACCCTGTAGTCGCTGAGACCTTCCGCGTCCTGCACAAGACGGTCCTGGTTCCGATGCATGGCAAGATGCAGGAAGGAGTTGAACCAGTGCCGACTGATCAGCTGGGTATGCGGGAGTTAAGGGAGAGGCTCCTCGATGAGGCTAGGAGAAAGGACGCGAAGTAGAGGTGTGGATGGCTGGAGGAGCATCACCACCTCACTCATCATAAAAAGAACATCGAGAAGATGTTCTCGAACATTGCGGCTTGGGATTTCTTTGTTTGTCTAAAAGTATATAGGGCGCCGCGAAAAGCCATGCACTTCTTTCGATGTACTGACCCTCTCTTTGTCGCCGAGTTCCAGATTCCGGGACAAAGGGTTAAGAAACCTTTCTTATGTTCGGCGGCTGTATCAGCAATGGATTGCGTCTTCATACACAATTGATTGCGAACATCACGTCTCTTGCCACAAACGCATCTTCTCGTGCAAGCCGACAATCAGCTCTAGTGATGCCGCCGGAACGCCGTGCAAATGATGCCGATGATAATTCGCAAGATTCAACTAATGAGAGACGGTCAGGCTTACGAGACCGATCCAAGTTGAAAACGACAGCCCGCAACGACGATACCACCCAACCCTCGTCTCCAAGCAACAGGCCCACAGCATCCAATGTGGTCGAGCAGAACAATGGCGGAGCTGAGGCAGGAAGTACTGCAGCACCAATCAATAAAATACAAAAGAAAATTGAGAAAAAGCAAGACTCTCTTCAAGACAAACTTCAGAAGGCAAGGGAGGATGCAGAGGATAAGGACCAACAGGACGATGCAAAGAAACGCTCACAGGCACACCAAAAGCGTCGTGTTGCCACCGCATTGTATGAAGACTATCTTTACTATCAAACACCAGAGTACAGGAAGCAATACCGTGAAGATATCGATGCCGCCGTAAAGAAGAGGGCAGGACTAGCTTTTGCCAAAGGCCATGCCCCTGCAAAATTGGGGGATGACGAAACTTACGACAGCAAACTAAGGAGCGTCCTCAAGGACTTCGAAAAGAACGGAGTAGGTTTGCTCGATAATCTAGATTGGCGAAGCATGCCGCCCGATCAGTTACGTATGCGTATTCCAAGAGCGGAAAAATTCCCGGTGGGACTAGGAGAGCAGCTTGGAGGGGTGCCAATCGAACCTTACAACTTATTACTCGACACCGACGCCATCGAGAAGAAAAGAAAGGAGGTGGAAGACCAGAACAAAGATCCAAAGATGAGCGAATCTCACTCCGAACGACGGGCACGCGAGACAGGGCTCTCGGAAGGACTACCGACAGACGGTCATGCCAATGACACTTTATCAACATCCAGAGATCTTCGCAGAACGCGACTGGAGACTGGCTTGTTTATCTCAGCGGGCGAAACATGGGACGACTGGAAGACCTTGCACGAACGCGAAGCACCGGATGGGCTTTACGACGAACTGATCGAGGAGGAGATGCCAGATGATGACAGCGACTCTAGTGACGACGAGAACGACTTGTTTGCAATCAGTTACCGCGAATGTAGTGGTTTGGCAGGTTGTCCCCGAGGCAGTGGTAGTGGCGGTGGCGGTGATGATGGTGGGCATGATAGTAGTGATGATGACGACGATGGTGACAAGAGTAAAAAGAAAGACAACAGTGATCCAGTAGCACCAAGCAACCCTGCTGGTGGGCCACCAACTGGGTCCAAACCTCGACCCAAGGCGGCAGGCAAGAAAGCGGAAAAACATGACTACACGCAATACACCCGCGTACAACTACGTACAGCTATGAAATTTTGCAACGAAACACAGAGTGCTAAGCTTACTGAGGAACTTCACAAGCGTGCTGCGGAATACGACGACAACCCGAACAAATCTGGTGCTTTTCATCACTATATCCTCAAGGATAAGACAGTCGCAAATGGTCTTCAAAATGATATTACTAAACTGGGTAATACTTGGTCGGCTACCTATAAACAAAAACTCGATAACCAGAATAAGAAGGCCGGAAGAACCGTGCAGCAGCAAGAGGCCGATTCTGAGGAGGTGAACGGAGACGATGTGGGAATAGATCAGACTGGCGAACAAGTAGATATTGACATATCCGGAGAGAACTCTCCCGCGCCAACTCGGAAGAGCAAATCCAAGAAGGCATCTACATCTAAGAAGAAGAAGACGCGGTCAAAACGAGGAGGCAAGAAGTAGACCATCTCACTTATCTCTTCAATCTTGTGGGGAAAAGGACGACAAGAAGTGGCGTGGGCGTGTAGATGTAAACTTGGACTGAGGTAACAGCCGGTGCATAGCACGGGGATGGCTGCAATACTCTTCTCGCACTCGATCCCGCAGTTCTGCTAGAATAGATCAAACGTAGTATAGTTTTCATAATGTCAGCACGTTGTGCTTCTTCACAGTACGCGCTCTTCTTTGAGCAATCAGTTCGAGACACGGATTACGCCAAGAGCCGAGTAAAGCTCAAGTCCTGTTGTATCTGACTGCCACAGTGTTCCGCGACGCTGCTGCTCGTTTTGAAGCTTATACAAAGCATACGCTTTCGTGGCTCATACTGTTGTCGAACATTGATTGATGACGTACCCCCAATCCGGTTAGGGTTGCGCTGTGTAGGGTCAGAGCGGGACGTCGCACGTGAGGGACGCTTCACCTCCAGGGTTTGCTCGCAGCATGGTCACTCACCCTGGAGATACAGGTTCGGCAACTTCCATCGCAAGCGTATCATTGGCGCGACTCGCGTGCCGTTCCGCACACGACGCGACCCCAGTCACGATCCTTGGCGCACACCTCCGCAGCCCATCTTACTCCGCGCGCCCGCTCCCAACCCACGAAGACAGCGACTAGACGAAATCAAAGCGGTAGCGCACGACACCGCACACGATGGCGAATGATTACGAGAACTGGCCGGTGAACTCTGTAAATAAGCGATCCCTTCGACCGGTCCTCTTCGATCTTGGGATCGCGAATTTCAACGACGTACCCAAGGAGGCTCTTGTGGAAATGTTTCTCGACTTTGATAAGCGATACCATCCTCTGTCTCTGAGCGACCCTGATGATAGAAAGAAGGTGAACGACGCACAGAAGGCTGAGTTGAGACAAGAGGTGATCAGGCAAAAGGAGATTGCGAAGCTAAATAAGAAGCTGAAAGAAGAGCAAAAGAAGGCAGAGCAAGAGAAGAAGCGTAGCGGGAACGCAGCAGCAAAGTTTGAAGAAGGACAGAAGACAGAGACGACCACGGTGAGGCATGCGGAGACTAAGGCCAACGCTCAAGAAGATGAAGCTACCCCGATCGACGGCGAAGCAGCGGATCGAGATCAAGACGGAGATGTGCGTATGGCGGGAGATGGGGATGCGGCAGAGGCAGTACCGTTGGTCGATCCGACGGCGGAGGCGGTCTCTAGTCCCGTCGACGGCGGGGGCAAGCGCAAGCGTCCTGCCACAGTGAGTCCATCTGACACCAAGCGGGCACGTACCGACCGACCGAAGACATCGTTAATCGTGAAGTTGAAGTTGCGGACTAAGGACGGAGTTGCGACTGGCGGCATGCAGACTGCGACACAAGTAAGTGAGACCGAGTGCGACAAGATCCTGGCTCTTGCTAACGACAATGCTCAGGGTCTTGGTGCTCGTAAGCGTTCGAGACAAGCTGCTGGGGACATGCGCACAGCAAACACCCGACGCACCCTTAAGAAGCCAGGTTCGAGGCTACAGCATGGCGTAGCATCTCCTCTTGAGCTCGCAAACCCCATGGAAGGCAGCAAGAACAACCCTGGCGATACAGGCGCTCAAGGAGTGGGCGATGTATCCGGCACCGTTCCTCCCACCAACGCACCCGAAAAGCTCCCGACCCGACACCATCCGCAATGTACCACCAGGAAGATGGCGAAAGCGCCAGGCGTGAGTGAAGACGCCGCTGCCGATGACACATCCGATGAAAACGAACGATTGTCCGAAGGGGATGCTGCATCCGACGCTGCATCGGCAGAGAACACCGAAGACACGCCTGGTCATACAGGGCCGATGCTACCTGAGGAAGAGTGGATTGACTATGATGACGACTCGATATCGCCATACGATGAGGTAGCGGCGCGGACTATAGTCGCAGAGAATAGTGGCAATCTAGGTTCTAGCCGTGATCCTAACCTCGTTATTGGCTTCAAGGGTACACACAGGGTCGACGGTTATATGCATATCCCTCTGCTCTATTGGGCGAAGCAGATGAATCCCGACACTCTGGATTCCGCACAGTTGGTGCTCTACAAAGTGCAGAAGAAAGAGTGGGAAAGGCAGGATGCACTCATGGCGGGAAAGCCGGCTCCGAAAAAAGTGGTCAAGCCCAAGCGGAAACGCTGGGCTGATGTGTAGTAAGGGCCTCGAATGGTCAACTTGGCAAAGCCTCTAGGCGGAAGTGACGACGGGTGCGTTTAGAGAGGGGAAGTGATCTCTTTGTTTGAAGGATGCCGTGCCAGCATGTGCTCGTTCCGGACGTCTGTACCTAGCGAGCATGTCTTTGTTCCATGGTAGTGTGAAATGCTCGCCGGAAATGGTAGATAGCTCTTTGTTTGTAGCAGCTGCTCGGCCAGTATGTTAGCATGATATTTACCCTGAACTTGATGCAATGACGGCGTTCAGTTCCCCACGATTTAGCATAATTGAATTCAGTCCTGAAACAAGCCACCCCACGTTTGCTGCGTTAAGCTCAAACTTGTCGCGACAAGATGACCAACGAGAACCAACAGAAGAACAGCAAAGATGGCAATTCGAGGAAGGAAAAGGGAAGAGAGGACAACACAGCTCGTAATAGGTCTGAGGATGTAGCCCCCAAGAATAAGTATATTCCAAAACTGATACTTGTCACCACGGAGCCAGGGGCAACCAGAGGCTCTCGAGTAAACACTCTGCGCGACACATGGGATAAGATAACCAAAGACCTGGAGCTCTGGCAGAAAGACCAGAAGAAGGATGAAGACATTGAGAAGGATCACGCTGCTGACTACAACTTCGAGGCGATCGAAGCGGACTATACAGCGAAGAATCAAGCTTATCGAGATGAGCTCGAAAATAATGGGCGGAGTGGAAGGGATCCGGATACGAAAGCAGCCAAGAGAGAGATGCTAATAGCAAGGGATAACTACAGGCAGGCTAAAAAATACAGAGATGACAAGAGGTTTGACAAAGCAAAACGTCAGAGAGACCATGAAGGGATGACGCGCGCTCAACAGATGGTCGAAGACTGGCTCTTCTACCAGGATGCCTCCAGGCGGCGGAGAAGGCTGATCTACTTGGACCCTGATAAGAGGAAAGAAGCTGAAGCAAAACGGTTGCGTCGTAGGCTTCAATATAAGCTCGAGAACTCAGGCACCGATAATGGCCATTATGACTGGCTGCATTCGTTGATGGAACTATATGACTCAAGAGACATTGGTGGCCGAAATTACAAACAAGGCTTGGAAAACCATCTCGGGAATCAGATCCCGAAAAGGACGAGGCAAAAGGCCACTCTGCCTCTTGTAGGGCCGGGCGAGCTTCACCTGTGGACACCAAGATACAGGCGTCGACTTGTTGGCTTGCGTCGCCCAGAGGAAGACGACACTGACAGTGATGATTCGGACGAGATCGAGCCGCATCGCTTTCAGCTGGATGAGGCGGCGGTCGAGGCCGAGCGGATGAAAACGGAGAAGAAGATCGATCGCGAGACGAAGAATCTTGTGTACAGTTCCCATGATGCAAGACGCCGAGACGAGATCGAAACCTACAAGAACAGCAGACCTAATACTTCGAATGTCCGAGAAGCAACGGTTTCCGGTAGGAGTATCGTCCAAGACAGGTGGGGTCAAATTCAGACGAAACAGGGCCTGTTCATCTCTGCACGTGAGAGCTCTTGGGATTGGCTGACCTCGTATGATTGCCTCGGGCCGGTGAAAACTGGTTGGTATCCTGAGACCAGCGCCGTTAGGGATGATCCGGAAGACTGGATAGAAGCAGATGATCTTGACAGCGAAAGTGATCGTGACAGCCAAGTTGACGCACCACAGGCTTCCGGAGATGAGCCTACGAATAACGAGACCGTACTCGAGAAGCCAGTAGGCGAAAGCCGAAAAGCTGGCAAAGCGACCATCGGTTACCCATACCCAGCCCGGGAGTTCTGGAGAGATTCGAAACCATTCAGATTGGGCGAACGCAAGTTCGTCACCACCGAGTGGGCGGAGGAAACGACCGGTCGCCGCGAACGACACACATACCGAAAGCTACAGCATGCCTCACCTGTCAACTCGCCCCCTCAATCTCCAGTGTTAGAGGAAATTTCAGATGCGACCATACCCATGGGCTTCCCCGAGACGGATACGCGAGCTGTCGCTCTAGAGCCAAGATCTCGCAGGAAAATCTGTCTTCTGAATCCCAATAGATGCCGGGCATTCTGGCCCCACTCGTTAAACGAGTGCTGGATACCATACTCAGAGCAACCGACGCGACCTGAAGAACCTGTGAAGTGGCCCATCCAGGGGATAGATGCACCCAAAGACGTGACCGAAGGGGGTCCGGATGGATACGTGCCGGCACTCGGTATGCCTGTTTACCGCTCTAGGCTATACGACCACTACGGACTGATGTTCCAGAGCACACCCAAGGACGAGGTCCCAGCGCGGCCCATATGGCCTAGGATTGGAATACGAGTGCCGTATGAACCCATGACGTTCGAAGACCTTCGTCTGTGCAGAGAAGATGGGGGCAAGGGTGAGATGGAGCCGGAGGCATCAAAATCTGCAGAGCTCGTGGAAGTTCCGGAATCATCCAGCCAAGGAGAGATAGGCAAGATTCTGGCTCCTGATGCGCATTTAAGAGGTGTCCATGAGGTCCGGTCGATGGCGGTGCCAATTATCGAGGAAGCGCAACGGCCGTGGGCAGATCCTGAAGAAGAGCCTGATGAAAATGACTCAGGCTCAGGCTCGGATGCGGAATCGGACGATGACGGTGATCTTTTCCATGAATCCTACGTGACAGGCTCCTTTCCAGGTGGCCTGCCAGCACCCGTACCACCGCCAACGGAAGCCTCAGGGACTGCCGCCCCGGATGAAACAGCTCCAGCAATTGTTGCCCCACCAGAAGCTGCTGTGCCTACAGAGGACGACCAAATGGATGATGGTGCCGAAGATCTGTAGACACAACACCACCGTATACCGGTTCAACCATATGTACGTAGATGTCGGTCTTTATCCATGATTATTCGTTGATTGTAGCAGGTATCGGGTGAAGCGTCATGAAGTTTGATCGGGTGAGGGAGCCTTGCTGGATTTCGTTCGTCGGTGCGCGGAGGGGACGCGTCGTCTTCGCGTTATCTAGGTGGCATGGTCTCGCTATCATGGAAGGAGAGGACTGGGAAAAATGTATCCATATCGCGAGGTATTCGGTAAGACATCGAAGCTCGCAGGATTGTGGCATCGGGCAATCGTTGACGTTTGTTGGCCGACGTGTAGCACTGAAGTTTGCAGTCGCGGTTTGAGGCCGGATTTGTGCTTAGTAATCAATCTGCGTCATAGCTCAAGCTTTTCAGCGAAACCCCATCCCTCCCCTCACACAGCCTCCCAGCATCAAGGACATCGACAGTATGTCCGGATAATCAACCGAAATTCGAGCAATTTAGCTGAATTACACGATAACATAGTGTGATGTTAGGGTTCAATGCACCCATTAATGACCCGTGGCAGAGTAAGTCGCACTTGTTTTTTATGGACCTTAACACCAGGAACCAGATTTGCCACTGTACACTCATGGATTCATTAAGTATCGATGTGTTCGAAAGATGTATTACTACAAGAGAGTGATGTCGATGTGCGCATATACTACGCGCGCGACAAACAGTCGACCATCACGCTCACCGCATTGAGGTGGCCTTAGCGAATACGCATAGCTCAGGACATGTCTGGAATGTCAAGCAGTTAGAGTGCTTCCTGAAGCTTTCATCGCAGTCCGAATGAATCGAAGATACAAGCACAGCTCCTCCACCTACACCCACATACTCCTCCCCAATCTGCAATCTCCTCTCTCGAGATACCTTGGATCCTCCCCTAAGTACTCCATCCTGTTCTCTCTGTAACGCTTCCCATTACTACCCTGCTCAAGCTTCCAACACTTCTCAATCTCTTCCCATACATCTTTAGCTCGGCGACCTATCTTGGGGGCCAGGATCTTAGCTTCCGCGATAGTAGGTGGAGCTTTCGGGTCTGCGGCCTGCCTGCTGTCCAACCAGTATAGATACGCATGGCGCGCCGATACCAACTCGCCAACAAGCCAAGAGTTTGGGTCGCGCGATGCACGGCCTGGCTGGACATGTATCTGGTATGTCTCATCTAGACGAGGGTTGGGTTGGATGCAGAGGGTGTTGTATGGTGGCTCACGGAAACCGAGGAACTCAATGATGCGCGGGTCGTTGATGAGAAGGAAGTCGACTGGCCCATTATCCATACTTGCTGCTACTTGGGTGACGTGGTTGTTGTTTCTGCGGTGCACGCACATGGCAACGATGCTGGCGCTCCCATAATAGTCGGCTTGGATTTCCTGGATATTCAAGACGGGAAAGGCTTCGAAACCATGGACTCGTACGACCGTGCAGGTGCCGTGAGGGTGTCTTTCGCATGCGACGCCTGCGGAAACGGATGGAGAAGGTGGTGGTACCGGCGATGTGGGTGAAGGCGACATCGCTGTCTTTGGCTCGGCATGTTCAATCGCAGAAGGAATCAAGATTCTCGGTGAAGGTATGCCTCCCATGGCGACATCAGGGTCTTGTGCGACTTCGAATCTGACTTTCTTTTGCAGTGCGTTGTCGGCAGCAGCATCTTCTCCCACAGACCTTTTAAGCCTGCCATGGGTCCCGATATCGTCGTGCGCTTCATCGACCTTCTCCGCCTCTTCTTTCTCCTCTTCCAATTCTTGGACCACCGGCAGCTTGTACGTCAACCTCTCTTCCCGATGATCATGCGCAGTCGCAAACTCGTTATACACCCTAACTACCTCGCGGTTGTCCAGCCTCTGGAGAATATCTTTGATTCTCTGCGACCACAATTCCAGCAAGTGCTTCTTCTGGCCGCCTCTCGTGAGAATCAAGCGCATAGTGTTGATGAGCTCGCTGGCCGCGGCTTCGGGCATGACAGCGAAGAGCCGAGGCTCAAAGACGGTAAGACTGCGCGACGTCGTGGGTGGCCTCTTCCGTCTGTATGTCTTGGGAGTCTGCATCGCATTTGTCTCAGGCGCAGTGGTGTTGACCGGTGGGGTAGGCGCGGGTGTGAAGAATTGCTGGGGGTCTGGCGTGTCGCTTTGCATTTTGGAGCCTTCGCTGCGCATACTGGCCTTTGTATATCAATGATCCGAGGTTTATTGGAAAAATCGTTGAGATGTGATGTTATTGAAATTCGCGTGGTGGTCGTTTGCGCGCAGGGCTGTTTTGTTTTGTCTCACTTTCGCTTGCGCTCTCACTCGCGACCTCCAAAACGAGAGAAAACATTGAAAGGACTATACACAGCACTACTTATTGATCCAACTCGAGCAACTGATACAATCGATAAGTGATATACCCACGAACATTCAGGCAACACTGTAGAAGTCAAAATAGCGACATCGTTATCGCATTTCACATCACATGAATTCGGGTCGCTTGTCGCCTCCGTAGAAGTCGATTCATACATTACACGTCTCCGCCATATGCCTCCACTACACATTAACATACAGGCCCCGTCATCCAACTCCTTTTGCCAAACACCTTACCCAAAGTGCGCCTCAACTGATACCGTGCTGCGCTTTCACCTGCGCTTCATACTCTGCAATAGCCCCATTGATCTCATTAACCATCTTCTCCCTTCTCAAAGCATCCGCTTCCGTCTCTGGGTCCTGAATATCTGGCACGGGCTTACCCGTGACATTCTTGAGGGCTTGCTTGGCGACAGCAACATTCCGAAAGTCCTCATCAAACGCATCTTGAGCATCACGAAGCTCCTTCCGTGCATCATCGGTGATGACCTCAAGTTGTGCAACAAGATTACGCGGCTGTTGCGTTGCGCGAGCGGCTGCCATCCGCATTGTAGCCATGCGCTCCCTTAGTCGAACGCCATACAACGCATTGCGACATGCTTGGAGCTTGACCCTGGCTTCAGCGAGGGCGTACTCTTCGGGACTGGATTCGCTACTGGTAGTCGCGGAGATCAGCAGAGCACGAAGTTCATCGGATGACTGTGGACGTGCTCGTTCGAGAGCTTGGAGTCGTGTCATCTCACGCAAGTCCTCGAAAGGCATGTTGAAGAAGTGGACACCAGTTTCCGTTCGTTTGTCGGCTGCACGCCAGTACAAGGGGCCAGGTGTTGTTCTTCCAACTGTGAGGTCAACTGCCAGGGGGCTATTGATCTCAGCAGCGATACCTTCCTCTTCTGGTATCAAGCCTGGTGAAGCATGGTGATTGACTTGGGGATTGGCGTCGTCATGACCAAACCCAGAAGCAGTGACACTAGCTTGCGAGTCATCGACATCCATCATTTGAACGTCTTGGTCGGATACTGGCTGCTTTTCCCGGTCACCAGCATCGTGCGCATCCGTGTCCTTTTCGGTCGACACTCGTCTATCATAAGTCTTGAGCCGTTCTAGAATGAAGCTGGTGTCGACAACGTCCTCCATCGCCACTAGGTCCCCTTCCCCGCCGCTCCTAACGACATCATTGACCGGTTCGTGCTTTCTGTTGTCACCGGCGTGCCCTTGAGGTATTGCTTCTCCGGTGGTCTCTTTGCCTGGATCAGCTACCGCGGAATCGGGGGTGTGTCCGACCGAAACGTCATCGGAGATGTCGTCTTCTTGAAGAGAAAGAGGTTCTGCGCTCTCCTCTTTCGCATTGTGACTCGCCGTAAGGCTGTTCGATCCGGTAGCCGGGACCCATACCTCAAAGCCGTATTTGTTTACACTCTTTACCAGAGGAGTAGTGGGTCCAGCTTCCGGTCGACCAGCCTTCTTCCGATGCGAACGTCTTGTTGGAGTCTCGGATGTACTGTCCTTCTTTCCATTGCGTCCTCCCTTCTCACGTATTTGGGGCTGGAAGTGTTTATCCCGGAGGTGATCGACAGTTTGTTCAGTGCCTTGACCTTGTGGCGCACGACTGTTCACGGAATTCGGTACGCGCTTAGTGGGAGGTTTTATGACTGTCTTGGCCCTGATAGTCTTGTGTCGTTTCGATTGGGGTTCGCTGAAGTTTGTAACAGGCAAATTTGTTTCACTGTTGCCGGGCTCATGCTTCTTAGCTGCTTGCTCCGGTGCTTTGTCACAAGACCTAGCTGCCGGGACGCTGCTCTCATTTCCCATATCAATAAATTTCCTATCGGTAATAGCAAGTTCCGATGCAGGAGTGCGAGGCTTCCCAGTCGAAGAGCTGGGATTGATGGCGGCTGGTTGAGAAAGTGATCGGCGGGGTGCTCTACCGTTGGTTTCCTTTGCGACGAGCTTTCATGCACCGTGACTTCCAACCTGAACGTCTCAATTTCGGAGTTTGTTGCGCTTACGAGAGGCAGAGAGGTTATGATCAGTACACAGGTGCGTACTGGAAGACTGGTGGTTCAGATAAGATGGCGAGCAATGTCGATGAGTTCCAAGAACCTTTGGTCATAGCGGCTCAACAACGAAATAGTGAATTTGCGTGCAGAAAATTTTCTGCACAGCCGATGCGGGCCGTAACAATATTGGATTCATCTCATGCATCGCAAGATGTCGTGAGCATTGTAAGCGGTCTTCGTCGCTGTCAGGCGTCTTCGAAGTCCACGCTTCGCTGGGAAGGAGGCAACGACACCCGCTTATGACGAGCATCCTGAGGCCTCAATGTAGTTGTCAGATGCGCGGTCTTGGAAGTATATCCCCGAAGGTAACTTGAGATGCGCGGTTGTGGTTGCAGTGGTGTTGTGAAGAATGATGACGTCATCATCACCGAAATTAGCGCCGATGTCGCGTACGCGACACGCGTGCTTGGACCCTGAACCACCAAACTTCACGATATCCGAAGAAGGCTACCTAGGTATGGTTGCCATCTCCAGAATCTGTCCAACATTTACCTCACTTTCATCAATATTCTTTGCCGCACGTGGTTACCTGTGAAGCATAGTTGCACGCCCAAGGTCTACACAAGCGATCACACACGACGTCATATCGGCCCGCAGTGCTTAGTATATCGAGGATTCATTACATTTTAATTTGTCCTCTTCAACGAAGACGTTCTACCCTCCAGCTAACAACCAGTGTCATACGCAAAGCTTTCTTGACTCCCTATCAAGTCTCAACACCATGGACTCGCGCCGAACCGTCTCATTCCGTCTCGAACCCACCAAGCCTTCCTAGCCCCGACGCACCCTTTTCTTCCTCTCGAACATCGTCTTCCGCTCCTCCGCATCCATCACACCAGTTCCTGCCGGTTTATACATGGGCATGGCAGTCTTGACGCCAGACTCCATCCATCGTGCCCACCGGTTGTGCAAGTCCACGATGCCGTGATTACGCACAAAGGTCTCTAGGTCATGAAGTACTGCTTGTTCGGCGGTAGCATCCTTGTCTTCCTCGGCGGCTCGACGACGCGTCCACACGAGATGCATATACTCTTGACGCTCAGCGTCTGTCGTCAGGATCTGGCCCATCTCTTCCATAACCTGTCGTAGACTCGGTCCGGCGGTACCAGTGGTGATGATAGTCGTCGGCCAGATCGGAACCCCAGTCTTTCGAAGCTTTGACTTGGGGGGCTGGGTATTGGCTTCAACTGGAGTGGGCTTGGCAGGTCGCTTTCCAAGCTGCTTCTGAGACGGTCGTGAGACTTTCTTCAGGGTACCTTGCGAGCGCTTGCCCTTCACAGGGAGAGACTCCCCAAAGTCTCCGTCTTCTTTGTCATCGTCGGCTTCTTCGCTGCTGTCTTCGAAGTCTTCGCTGTCCTCTTCAGGCTCTTTTTCCGACCGGTTCTCGACTTGTCCCTCTATACCTCCCTCGTCATCTATACCCGAGAGACCAAAGAGCTCAGGATCTCCATCTCCTTCATTATCATCCTCCAAACGGGATGAGCCCAAGAAATCCGATGGGCCCGCCTCCGTGGCCTGAGCAGCCTCGATCTCGGCCTGGCGACGCCGGACCAAGGCTGCAAGGTCTTCAGACCCGGGCTTGCGTGTTCCGGTCGATGTAGAGTCGCCAGCAGTCTGGCCCGCAACCTCTTCCTCTGCATCGCTCCAATGCCCTTCGACGTCCTCTGGCTGTAGTAGTGTATGACCACCGATACGCATAGGACGTGTCATCGTTGTCGGGGCGGACAGAAATGCCTGGTTTGGAACGCGACGGGAATTCTTGGAAGCTGGTGCGCCAGGGAGTACGAACTGATGCCTCGGTGGGGTGCCCTGTGGGGTCGTCGATGGTTGTAGAGTCGTTGGCGTCGTCGATGGCGGCGGTACGTATACTGCTCGTTGACGTCCAGAAATCGGGTTCTTTGGCGTTGTTGCTAGACGTCTAAGGCGTTCAGCTTATTAGAGGTCAGTGATTGCTATCACGAGGGGACTGACTTCAGGGGCGATGCGCAAACGACCAAATAGTAAAGAACGCAATTGCTTACCATTATCAGCTTGAGCAGCAAGCTCGTCCTGCTTCTGCATCGCACGCATAGTCACAGCTGCTCGCCTGTTCAGCTCTTCAAGTCCCGCATGGCGCCCCCATACAAGTCGACAGGTTTTCCAAGCATTCCTTCGCATCTGGAGGTCCTCGTCGGTGTCCTCTTCACCCATGTTGTCCGGCATTGGGCCAGCAGGTTCCAACTTCCAGATCGGTATCATCATGGGAAGCTGCGTGAAACTGATGACTATTTTTCCGTCCTTCTCAACAAACATGCGAAGGATATCGGAGTTCTCGATGAGAATGGTGTCGGTGTCAATGTTGCCGGTGCATGACATCACGACCCTGATGACCTTCGTGGTGAAACCCTTGGACGGTGGGCTCTTAGCGATCCTGGTGATTGTAGCGGTCGCACTGTGAACGTGCACAGGGCCATGTTGCTTGTCAATGTTCATGTCGGGGAAAGGCGTTTCTACCGGAACCTCCTGAGTGGACATGGTTACTGTTGTACGGGCAGCGTAGAGCAAAGATGGCTGCACGAACGAGTGGTAAGAATTGATAGTGGTCTTTGGACTACATGGGGGCCAGTGCTCCAATGTATGGTGGGGTGGTGGAGAGATTGCTCTCGCACCGTCAAGTGTAAGGTGGTTTGCGTCTTTCATTGAGTACCCTGCACACTTTTTTGGGTCGTAGAGCACTTGACGATCTGTTCAGGAACTAGCAACATCGGTACCTGGAGTCCCAGGGGTCATGAGCGCTTCGCACTTCATACTCGCATCACCCCCGGATACAGTCCCGTCTAATGGTGTGACTTATTCATCGCTTGCGCTATCGACCACCAGCAAACAGACACTGTTTCTCGACATCACCCTTCACAACGCCGTCAATCGAGGTCATTCCATGAGCATGCGCGATTCCACGAGCTTCTTTCAGCTACCACAACCCAGCGAAGACTAAGCAAAGCGTGTCCAAATGATCAGCTTGACGTTGCGCGGTTTCACCGAAATGGAATACACTCAACAGCCGAAAGTCTTCCGGCCCAGCTGGTACACCATCCCAGCGATCTTTTCCACGATTCAGTCGTACACTTCGGCAGTGGAGTGGTTCTACTATCTGACCTTTATCTCGCACATACTATGCAAGTCTGACTCGGCCCATATAGCCAAAGCCCACCTCATCTCCTTTCTGCGCGCTCGTCCACACATCCAGATGTGGCACGAAGCTTTGCTCTCCGAGATGTACGACGAGGACGAACCAAATCTACCGTCGGTACTGGAAGGTACGAATCTCTTGCATCCCTTGATACAGAGATTTCGCGAGTATTGCACGCAGAGATTCTCGTTGATGACGAGAGGGTATGTCTTCGTTGCGCGATGCGTGGTAATTGACTTCATCTACAGGCGCTTGGACAAGGCGCAGAAGGCAGCTGAGCTGGCGAAAGATGCGCAGACCAGGAAAGTGCTGGAAGAGCAGGGTGTGGCTGTGCAGCAGCGCGAGCAGGCCCGACGAGCTTTCGAGGCTTCTTGTCTCCGCTTTGGTAGTATCGGGAAAGATGTGCCTGCTGCCGGTCAAATTGGTGTTCTCGATCTTGCCGCTCTCTTAGCTGTGTTGTCGTTGCAATCGCCCTTTGATCTACCCGTCACGCCCGAACCTGGGTTTGCTGCAACTGTAGCGCCTGTTCAGCAGGTATCATGGCTGAAGGGTCTTGCGCGCAGTTTGGCTCAGCTTGCAGTAGAGGTCACTCCATCCTACACTCACTTGGCAGCGTAGTCCTGTTGTACGACAAACTTTGGCACAACTGCGTGCGCAATCATTAACTACCTTTGATGTTTTGCTCGTATAGAACAATAGAATGAGGTTAGACAATGAGGCCGAACAAGCAATAGTCAACTCATCACAAGGTAAGTGCAAGTATTTAACGGACTGGCGAATTACCTTCTCTTTTGCTTCGCAAATTCCTTCTATACTTATATATATATATATTGCATTTAAATCTCTTGCTACTTGGCTAATCAGTCAGGTGCTGCTTTTGTTCGTCACTACCGACCCGTCACACTCCTTGCCTTACAAGAAGATGAAGTTTGCGACATCTTGCTTTGAGACCTCCGCAGTCGCTCCGCGGGAGTCACGACCCTTGAGAAGCTCACTCAATTCACCGATTCGATCATTGTGGCCCTACCTTGGCGATGTGAATGAGAGCCTTCTTCGCCGCTTATATCGACCGAGAACGGTTCACGATCTGACTCTTGTTCTACTCAACCAATTTCACTCTTGAGTTCAGAGCCTATAGACCCCTTATAAACGGCCCTTTACCTTCTACCACTTTAACCACTATCAGAAGCTTTCAACAGAACGTCACATTCAACAGCCAACCGCACCGAAAACACACACAATCGATTTCAACGGTAACACTGGTTGAGACAATGAACACACACACGTCCTGTTACACCAACAGTATCCTCCAAAGACTCAAGGAGATCATTGGTCTCAACGACTTCTTACTGTACGGCAGCATCATCACCCGAGTCTTCCGATGCAACATCAGCGGGTCCGGCTCTTCACCAGCACTGTTTCGCATGCTCAACCCCAACTCAGATGCGATCTTCCTCCACAACGAGATTGCAGTCATGACGAAGACTGCGATAGAAAAATATAACCTTCCGGAATTTGAGGACGAGAAGAATGGCGCGAACTCTTCGCGCTATTCTGCGAGCGCAGATGATAGCTACGGGCACCTGCTGTTTGATGTCGTAGATCAGTTCGCGGGTACGGAAGGAACGCGACCAGCTGAGGCGCATACCGCGCGATCTCAGGTCATGCGGTGTGTGGAGATGGTGCACCAAGAGCATCAGAAGATCGAGCAGGCAGTCGACGATGTTGCGGCGGTGCTTGCATCAATGGGGGTGGATACCATGGCGACGGATGCAATGGAGTTCTGACTCAGCTTTAGGGTGCGAAGGGTGAAGACCAGAGATAACATACACGTGCCAATGGTTAAAATGCATCAGGTTATAGCAGCGGGAAGACGATATACACATTGCAGTTCATCAAGTATATCTGGCATGCATGGCCTGGAGGCACACAAATCATTTTTTCAGTCAGCATTGATCATCACGAATACATTGTGCGAGTGTTCAAAGAGTGTATATATGAATTGTCGAGACTTACAAGGGACCAGCCCCAGCTCACAACTAGCTAATGATCATCAAGGTGAGACTTACGGACGACCAGCGCCCAGCTCACCACCAGCACCCACAGACCAGACACCACCACACCACATCTCCGCCGCCACCACCACTCACTCCTTCTTGACCACCTTCTTGGCCGTCACCGGCACCCGACCCTTCATGTAGAAGTCAGCTCCAAATCTCTCCACCTCCTTGGTGAGACTTGAGTGACTCCTCAAAGGCCGAGCGCCGGCCGTACCCGCGAGAACCTTGCCGCCGAAGGTCTGGTTGAACGCCTCAACGAAGGCCTTCCACCCCTTGGTGGGCTTGCCGGCGGTGAGGTTGGCGAGAATCCACTTGCGCTCCTCCGCCACGTAGGCCTGGACGACCTCACGGAACCGGACGCTGGTGTTGCGCCGGATCTGCTGAACAGTGCGCTTGTTCAGCGCCGTGATGGCCTCCTGTGAAGCCCAGTTGCGCGGGGGCGGGTTGGCGAAGATGCGCTTCTTGCCGTGGTTGTCGAGGAGCTTGATGACCAGCTTGTGCTTCTGGTCGAACGCGGTGCCGTCAGCGAGAAGCTCGAACCGACCAGGGACAAACTGAGTGAACTCAGGGTTGGCCTTGAAGTTGTCGTCGTCGGCGTAGTCGGTGGCGTATGCGCCCCAATTGACGTTCCGGAACAGTTCTGGCTTGGTGGTGTCTTTGACGTCGCCAGCGACGTCGCCCACATCCGAGTCGTAGTACTCGTTGCCGGCCTTGGCGGCGGTGGCGATGAGCGCAGCGTGGTCAGCCCGCTTCGGGTCCAGGATGCGCTTGTTGCGCTTCATGGTGGGCGCGGAGATGGGCAGAGGAGCTTGGGCGGTCTGCTTCATGCGACGCTTGGGCGGCATGATGTCGACCTCGGAGTCGTTGTCATCCTCAGACTGAGTGACGAGTTGATCGATCTTGCGCTTATGGCCAGCGCCAGCAATGGGGGTGGGTGAAGAAGGATGAAGGGCGGATTGGATGCAACGCAATTTGAGCTTGAGACCTGAGCGACCAGACTCTGCGCTGGGGGGGCCGACAGCCTGGCTCACGGGAATGGGAGTGGAGTCGACCGCGGTGGTGTTCTTGGGGCTCCTGAGCTTGAGCTTGAGCAGACGAGGCTTGCCAGAGCTGTAAGAAGCAGACGGAGAAGGAGCGCCGGTGGAGCGAGGGCCGAAGGTGTGTCCAGCACGAGCAGCTACCATGGGTACATCGATCGGTGAGGCCTGCTCAACCGAAGGGAGAATGACGGAAGGTGACCTTGTGGGAGTCGTAAAGGGATCTCTGGGACGAGTGTGACGAAGTCCAGCCAAGATGGTGGCAGCTTCAAGCATGCCGGGTGAGACCAGCTCGACCGAGGGGAGAGTAGAGGAAGACATGACGATGGAAAGGTATCGTAAAGAGTAATGGGTATCGTAAAGATTCAAAGATGGAAGTAAGAAGCTGAGTGCTGAAGAATGTATGGTAACGTGCTGGAAACTGAGAAAGTCGTAATGAGAAGATAGAGAAAGCTGGGTGGTCTGACGATAGAGACTGCCAAGGGGAAGGGCAGTTTAAGTATGAGGACTGCTGTCGACAGCTGCAACTTTTGTCTCATTAAGCTGCTATTGTCTCGAGGTGAGCTGCACGAGTTTCTGCCGTCTTGTCCCAATCGGGTGGTGAAGGCTGGTAATTCCTATTGTGAGTCGTAGTGAAGACGTAAAATCGACCCATCTTGAGCGCGTTCACTTCGCGGAACAATAGGACTGTGCTGAGAAGCGGTTAAGACGGGACAAGTCGAGGTGACCTGCGATAGTTCCAGACGTCAGAGAGCCATCTGATAGCCAAATATGGCTTTCTCAGCACATCAATACTGGACTTCTCCATTGTGAGCGGGCGTCCATGAGACTCATTGTTTCGGTCATGATAGCTCTTGATGCTGCCTCTTGTTCCAGGGTCTTGCTCCCATCAGACCCTTTCACCTTCACTTGGTCGTGGCGTTCCCCTTGGTGTGGATGGTGCGAACATTGTAGTTTTTGCAGCAGCCAGGACGCATATCGCTCCTTGTCGTATCAGACCCATATCTCTTCAGCTCTCTCTTTTCAAACGAGTCGCGCAATTCCGTATGAACAGAATAAAGTGGTGTAGTAGGCGCAGCTCGTACGTGACGGTATATGCTGATGGCTCGTGTGCACGCTAGCGCCGAATGTGGTTAGCATGGCTGATGACATCATCCATCGGATATCCCGTTTGGCCGCATCTGCTCAACCTGCCGACGTGGCTATCAGTGTTCGCATCCTCGGAAACAATGCGAACGCAGAGCCCGCAATGGTTCCAGATGAATGCCTGGGAAAATGACTAGCGATGTGGAACGAAGTCCCGTAAGATTGACGATGGCGCATGCAGGACGCGACGCGTCAAGGCAGCAGCTTTGCATTTGTCTTTGCATTACCCAGTGTATAGCTAGGGCTCTCACACCTTTACTTTTCCAGATCAGATACTACATCTCTGTCAGTCACAATGGCTAGTTCACCAGCTATCGACGTCGTCATTACTTCTTCGCCCGACGTTTTCGACATCGACGGACCTACCGATCTAAGCATCTGCCTCAGTCTCACGCTTCGTCACAACAAACCGATTACATTGTACAAACGTGAGACGAGCCTCTTCGACGGCAAGATTCTCCATGGTGGCGGGCTCACGTTCACCGATGTCGAGACTGGCCAACGCGTGCCACATAGCACCTTGAATCTCTGCTATTTCTCTAGCGAGAGCTTCTCATGGGCGACTAGAAGCCAATACTTTACACTACATCCAGGGAAACAACATGTTATCCACACCGGCTTTACACCTCTAAGTACAAGCGGACGGGAGAAAACGGATCCAAGAGAATCGTGGGTGAGGTCGTTGAAGTTCGCCGGCTTCAAAGATGGGCAGACATGTAGAATGGGCATCAGTGAGAACGCTTTTGTCAAGGACTGGTTTGAGGGAACAGTCTGGAAGCTACTAGGATGGCAGATGCTGGGTTGGGCGCCGACGACAGTCCACACGCACATCAGCTATAGGGTTGTTGAGTCATCGGTTGTCACGATCAAGCGACTCGAAGCAGATGATGATATCCGCCTCGAGGACGTACTCTCTGTGAAACTGACTGATTGAGCTATCATCTAGCTCGGCAAGTCGTAGCTGAATGCTTAAACCACACCCAAACGCTGGTCTCTAACCGTTCGACCAACACAACCCGTGTCTTTCTGCTCTAGACAAGTCTATCTTGAAGGTGATGCTTTCATACGCGGCTCTCACACCCTATATCTGTACCGATCTTTCCTCTCTACACCAATCATCTCCGCAAAGGTCGTCTTCAGGTCTCTACCCATAGTGTATATGATCTCTTCCAATCGTGCAATGCGTATGGGAACATCGCGCCAGTCTACACGCCGACGCAGCTCCCCAGACTCGACGTCTTTGACTAGTTCGTTTAATAATGCAGCATTCAACTTGTAAAACCCCACGAAATGCCGCGCATGCGCAAAATGCGCAAGCTCATGCAGCATTGTCCTTACCAAGTCGTTCATATGGACGAAACGGCGTGGATCGCGATCGTCACGTAAACGTAACTGTATGTTCAACGGGATGATCTCGGTTGTGGTTTTCCCATAACGATCTATGCCGTATTGCTTTTGAGTCAGGGACTTGCCATGGCAGGAAGAGTACTGCGAGAGCTCATGCAGCATTGGGACAGTCCAGCCATGCCGACGCATGATAGGTCCGACGATGTAGGCACACCGTCGCAGGAGGTAGAGGGCGTAGGATCGGTGAGGCAGGCCATCGAGTGTCGTGTAGCTAAAGAAGGAGCTATCTAGGCCGCGTTGGGGTGGCAGGTGGTCTAGTCGATGGAACATGGTTGAGCTGATGCTGTGAAGGCTTTACACCTGGGTTTGGTCGGACTTTACATTCTTTGAGACGAAGCAAAGGCCGTAAGCAGAGAGCGAGAAGGCGAATTTGGCAGCTGGTGAATCACATGCGCAACCGGCCTCAGCTGGTCCCTATCCCCTTCCTGCTTGTATCCAGTGAGCATTCATTCAAAAGCTATCAAAACAGTGACGTTATCGTGAAAGGGGACTACAAGAGCCGCATGGAAATGAAAAGTATCGGTGCACATACGAGACACTAGTAGTGAGACTCGCATTTCTCTCCAGCGAAGGTTGTCTCAACGGGCATGGCCCTACACAAGACATTGTGTACAATATATGGGTATCAGTATGCGCTCACAATGTCTATAAGCGACAACGTAGAGCAATGGCTATGAACACAGCCACGATAGTCAACAAAGGGCTTCCAGTTATTCGTACGGCTTTGTTCACTCCATGCACTTCACAATGATGTTGCTCGTGCTCAGCCCAAACCGCCAAAGCACAGTTGAAAGAGAAGTGAATATCTGTACTTGATGCAAGCTAGACAATCTACGGCAAGTACAAATTGACGACGTACCAATTACTGGAAGTTTCCAAATACATCGCTGGATTGGAGATGAAGAAGCTAACCATAGCTAAGGTGACCTTCACACAGTGAAACGCCTAGACACGCCAGCGACCATCAAAAGAATCGAGAATAGCCATCTTAGAAACTCCCAGGTCCTTGCCTTAGCGAGAAAAATAATCCGCTGTCTTCCACGGAGAGTTCGCGAGACATCTCTTTTTGAATGAAGTGCGGGACAAATTCGAGCCCGAGACCTGGCCGTGCGAACTCATGCGATCAAAGCTGGAGCTTCTCGATTTGCAAGATCATCATCGGATCGAGTGTGTACGCCCGGGAACAGCGTTGACCCGAAGCAAATGACCGCAGTATCTGAGGACGCCCGGTATCGTGTCTGTCTCTGCGTGACCCCAGCGCTCGTATCGGGTATCGAAGACACCGCATGGCCGCAAGACCCCACCTCATCTGAGGAGGCGCAGGACTAAAAGCTTGTACTACTGGAAGTAAGAGGCCCCTTTGCTGATGTCTCGGATCAGTTGAAGGCTTTGCACAACGGCGTACTCATGAGTTCGGCCGTGATACTCGTCGAGGCGATTCCAGAGGACATGGGTTTGGATGTGGAGACACGGTAGGACCATGTGAATGCCGTTCATCGCATAATTGGAAGGCTGGGGTAAGGCTGTAGGAGATGGAAGTCGAGAGCCTATGTCGCATTGTGACGTTGCCGCCGGGTAGTAGTGCCTTCGAAGGCAAGGATGGACCGTCGTTGTGCACTCCCGTTCTCGCATTGGTAGCGCATTACTACAATCATTAGACTGTCGGTAACATACTTCCATCCCACAATCATCTCCAACGGCGAAATCTCGCGGCTATTGCTCACAACCCTCACTACGCGCATTAACTTCATCCTCAAGCACAAGGCTCTGATCCGTCCCAGCTGGTGATACTCATACTCCAGTGGTACAGTTTCAATGTTGCCTACAGGGCTACCCTGGCCAACGATGGTAATCCGTCTTCAGGGAAAGGTACGTAACACGCCTGTGAAGAGGGGTTACCTGGACATGCGGCGGTACCTGGATACTGCTTACATCGCGGGAAGTGGCAGTGCTGCGATAAGAGGGGTGTCGTCGTAAGCAAGTAGCCGTTGGGGGATGGAGGAAATGAGCCTGACGATAATGTGCGGGAATTTTCCTGGACTCCTCCAGTAGTTATCATGGGTACCGTAAAGACACCACGGTAAAGGTTAGGTTTTTCGATAGATCAACCGTTGATCTACCGAACAGGCTGACCCAAACCCTACGATTTGGGTCAACTCCACGATGCTGACCCGTTTTGACAGTTCCCAATTCCTCTCTTGGGATCGGGTGCTGAGACTCCGAAATTTGCTCCGTTGAGCTGGCCTCGTTGGAGTCACAATAGCGCCGAGCGAGAACATGAAGCACGGTACGTGTTCAATGGTACTCGGTAGCTTTCGGTCCTCGGAGGCTAGCAGGACATCGCCCTGAAAAGCAAACACCCAATGGACTTAGAATCAGCGGCGTGCAGCATTGCGCCACTGTGAGCCAACGAAGGGTCTGCGGGTGCGGCGTCGCCTCGCTTTTCTGGAACAGCGGCAGCGAACAACGTAGCCCGGCTGCCAAAGTACGCCCTCCACAACAAGCGCGGAAGCAAGCGCGAAAAGAGGGTCCGCGCAACATACTGACATAATGGCACCCCTTCGCTGCGAAAAAGCAATAATGGTTGCATGTCGTTGTACGTAAGTTGGACGAATTCGTCACAGTAAGCGCCAAGCTGGAGCGTTGGGTATCAGCTGCAAAACGGCATCTTCCTGTTACGTGGACAGAAACGTAGCGGGTATCGGAGTCTTAGCGATATGCAAACAGTTTCAACCGCCATCGAAGATGTCTGGTAGGAAAGGGGAAGCTCCAATGGGCGAGCAGACAACCTGGTGCTTACGCGCGGGCCTCTCTCGACTCGGCACATGCCCAGGTGTGCAGCTCTTCTCGCGTGGACTGCACCCACTTATGATTGGCAGTCAGATAACACCTATGATGTCGCTCGCCTGAACGGTGTGTAGGGCTGCGCACGAGTCCTCTTTCAACGTGATTGACATGAAGATAGACAAGTTGAGAGTTGTCGAACACCCGGCTGATGCCGAATCGCACTAGCGCCTTGGCGTCGCGTGGTGCCCAGCCGCTGGGGACACCTTCGAATCGCGACTTGTGGAGAAGGGGTCCGCTCTGTTCCCACGACACCATGCCCTTTTGTAACACTACGCTGTCGACGATCCTCATGTCACAGCGCGCGCCCAGGCTAAGGCCCTCACTGTCGGACGCATCCTCAGGCTCAGATCTTTGCCGGGCAGAAGGACCGACTCAACCCTGTTTCCGCGGGGAAAGAAAAGCAAGGAGAATCTCAGAAACAACAATGTGTCAACGGCATCGCTGTACAGCCTATATGGAGCTTCATTTATGTGAGGAAGCCACAGACAGATGGAGAGCTCATCCCGTGCGCATAGTCAGCTACGACCCGTTGGCAATCTCCACAGCAGGTCTCAGCGAGAAAAGGCCGCCGCCGGGTCATCGCGGCTCGCGTACAGCTAAAGATCCGGTCTAAAAGCTACCCGCACATCTCCTGGAGCCACAGTTATTCTGCTCACCAAATGTTTAGTGGAAGTTGATCTTGTCCAATTTCTGAGGTCTCCACCTGTATTCGACTTGCCTCGGCGACTTCTAACGGTCTTGAGCAGCTGCATGCGTTGATGATGACTGATCTGCAGATTTTCAGGGCCATACTGCTTCTGCTCGCTTTCTAGCAACGCAGCTGCGCGACCATCAAGTCTACGGAGTAGGAACCAAGCATGTCAAGTGGCAGAGCCGTCTTGCTGACTGCGACGGAGGATATAGCGTCCTGTCAAATTCATGGGGTTGACACTAGGGTTCCGGCCCGGGCCTCAACCAATTCAAACTCAGCACATGAAAGCTCCTTTCCAGACGGCTCGCGATGGTGTTCGTGCCGTCAATTTCTAAAGCTTCGTACTTTGGCGAGGTAGAAATGAAAAAGCGCATTGCGTGCGCAAGTTCGTCTCTAGGTCCGCCCCGTGCGTCTCTAGCTGCAGCCTGCGAACGCGAAGGATGATCATGGTTTTGCCTACACAAAGTTTTTAGTCCTCGCTTACGAAGTCCGCGAATGAGAGTTTACCGTCTCCTGTACGACATCACGCAAGCCGTGCCACGTTCCTGCATGTGTGTACACTCCGCTTTTTCGACTGATCCTCCCGAGTTCTCAGTGGCATCCTTTACCGCTCTGGCTCGGTACGACGCTCAAGATGGAATCGCATCCACGACTCCTTAGCCCGTGTGTAATATCACGATCTCACTTCCCAGGATGCTGGCGGCCGAAGGAGCCCTATGCATCGGGCTGAAACACTACATCCGGCGAACATGGTTGGTGACACCATAGCCACCATCACAAAACGAATGAACACGAACTGCTCGAGGTCGAACCATACACAACTTTTGCACACGCGTGCCGCTTGAAGTTGGAGCTACTTCTCCAACTTTTCGTGACAGCCGAACAGCTCACCATTGTGCAGGGACTGGGTTCTCTGCGTTCTGTAGATCCCGGGAAAACCGGAACGTCGCACGGGACGTGTTGAGACCGATCTCACACACTTCGTTGCTCTCGCGTTTTCGACTCGTGGCCATGCCGAAGGTTTTCTGACAGGGCTGCAGACCCTGGCACCCGCGGAGTAATTGGCGAATGTCACTGTTCGATGGGCGTACGGAAGGTGGGTACGTGCATAAGTGTGGTTAAAGGTAAAGCCACCGACCAATGCCCATACCACCCATCTCGTTCAGGGATCTGAGCAGGCTGTGAAATACTCCATGTTTCCCACAAAAGCAGCCTGATTCACCTTATCTGGTCGTCTTGAGACCTACGCTATCACACCATGGCTGGATCATTATCTGATAACCCGAGGGGCAGGCAAGCGGTCGAGATATCGTCCGTCTTCACTGGTCTGGCTCTCATCACCGTCGCCCTTCGACTGTATACGCGCTTCTTTATCATTCGCTGCGTGGGTATCGAAGATGCCGGCATCGCTCTCGCAATGGTAAGTTTATTACTACGTCATGTTATGTATACTCATGCTAACCTTCTGCCAGCTCTGCTCCATTGGCCTGACAATCGCCATTGGTATCCGTTAGTATACGCCTAACTACGTTATCTTACAGAAGCTGACCAGATGCAGAGGCCGAATATGGTATGGGCAGACACATCAACACAATACCAGACGACCATATGGTCAAGTTTTTGAGGGTGCGACACTCTCAACGTGTACTTTAAGGCTCTGCTAACATAAAGCGACAGACATTTTGGTCCAGTCTCATCGTATACTACCTGTCGCTCGGTTTGACCAAAGGATCCATGCTTCTCCAATATCGACGCATCTTCCCGACCAAGAAGTTCCAAATCGCGAACTGGCTTACGATGGCCGTGGTCGTCGCCTACACCGTCTGGACAGTCTTCTCCAGTATCTTCACCTGCACACCTGTACGAGCTTTCTGGACTCACGAGAAGTCTACTTGTCTTAACCAATTCGCCGTCTGGTTCACGAACGCCGCCATCAACATCCTTACCGATTTCGCGATCATTCTTCTTCCTATTCCGGTCATCCAGAAGTTAAACCTCGGGAAGAGGCAGAAGATTGGACTCATATCCATCTTCGCAGTTGGCGGATTGTGAGTATTCCTCCCTGCTGTTACCTTGTTTTGTCCATTCGGGCCGTCCTGCGAGCGCCTGATGTCTGTTACAAGGTGTAACACAAAGCTCACTCGATTTTCGCACGGTGCATCACTGTACCACCGGCTCTTCTCGTGATGAGTTACTCAGCGGGCATACCCCTACCATCAACTGTTACAAAGAAGTCACACTAACGCGCGATCCTGCAGTGTCTGCCTAGTCTCAATTCTCCGTCTACAATCTCTCGTCGCCATCTCGAACTCGGCTGATCCTAGTTACGACAACCCGCCTGCGGCGACATGGAGCTCCGTTGAGACCAACGTCGGCATTATTTGCGCCTGTCTGCCGTTGCTCAGGCCTTTGATCACACATTGGCTTCCAAGGGCATTCCCTTCAAGACACCGCAGCGCATATTCCCACTCTCGCCCACAAGGCGCTCGTACCTACGGGAGCAGGGGTGGCAGCAAGGCGCTGCGCACAAAAGACGACTACGTTCTAGACGTAACGAAGCGTTCTAATGGTTCGAGCGAGGACGCGAGAGACATTCAAGTCGTTACGGACATCCACGTAGAGGTGGATGGTGCCGATGGGAGGAGGCTGAGTGGCTGGAGAACGCCCGCTTCTCAGGCCACCTGGGCGGACGATATATCCCGCAAGGAAACACAAAGGGAAAACAGCACTGAGATGCTGGTAGACGAAAATGCGCGTGTGTCGAGGTAGATCCGAGACTTTTCTTTTGTTCAGTCCACACACTTTGACCTCACTTTATCACGATACCCCATGACCTACCTACTATTAATAGAGAGTAATCCGACTCTTGTAATGCCCTCATTCTTATATCTTTGTAATTATCCCACTATTCTCACGATTGTGCGCGTGAGCGTCACCTTCTCACCCCTCAATTGCTACGTCCCGGAACTTCAGTCCTGGTCAGAAAGATGCTGTCCAGCTCAACTGTCCCTCTTCTCTCTGCTTTCAATCATGACCAGAAGTCCCTGTTCTCGCCACCCCTATCAGAACCATGATTTATTTCCTACGTTCTTCCCACGACATCTTTCGCCCATCCAATCATGTTTCCTTGTCGGCAAACCACCCGAACCAAGCCAGTGACTTCAGGAAAAGAAGCGTACTTATCTAATCGAAGCTTCTGGACTGTTGCGCTGACTTCCCTTTCACCCAGATGCTAGGTGTTTGGTCAATATCGTTGAGTGTAAGTCGTACAAGCAACAAACACCTCGCTGAGCACGTTGATATACATATATCGCTGCGCAGTACTACGCTGGGCTCATCATCTACCTATATTACCTACACTACAGCTTCCCAGAATCTTCGCGGTATATACCTTGCGTCATTAAGAGAAGGAATCGCAAGCGTGAGGAGCTTCGCCAAGCCTGTACGTGATGGTCGCACAAGCCCATTCACGTGCATTCACTCGCAGCTACGACTAGTGTGGAGCTAGTGTAGTCAGCGCTACAGCTGACACTACCCTCTACTTAACCCAGGCGTACTTTCGGCCTCCGAACGATGGGCCACCACCACTTCTCGCAAGCTCGCATTTACTCCACCCAGTAACTGCAGCTTTGCACAGCTAACAAGCGCGCCGGTTCCATCTCCACTATCGACATACAGGCTATCTGTATGGTATACGGAGCCTGTATCCACGCCGAAAAGGTACCAACAGTCGCTATGGCGCCCGCTGCTGCGGTCACGAGCGACGGTCGCGCATCATCCGCTCATCCAAGGTCAGTGATTGCCTTCTCCAACTACATGATATATCCCCTGACTCTTCCCAGTGAGCGCGTACAGTATGCACGCCAGGCTATCCAAACCTCCATGACGTACTGGTCCGCTACCACGTACACATCTGTCGCCCCAAGCACACGGGCGCCGAGTATGTCGCGCCGCTCATTCACTGCGTCCGATGCGCCCATACTGCGAGCTCTCGACGACTTCCAGTCGCGCGGCCCCCATACCTTACAGCCTAAGTTATCCGGGCTAGAGTCCGATGACAAACATTCCACCACCAAGGGCCCTCGGGGGCTCCAGCAGCGGGCCAAGGTCGATGGATGCTTCACCACCGTTAACGCTACTGGCCAACCATCGCTTGTTGAGAAGTTCGCTATCTTCGTGGTCTGCACGTTCTTTGCACTATGGATAGTACGATCTGCCGCTGAGAGCATCGTTACTCTTGTTCCCTTTGCCGGCCTGGTATGGTTGGTGTTCGGTGGATTCCAGATACTTGAGCAGCAACAGCAGTCAGCTCAACTGGCGCCGATCATAGACGATGACACGTCTTGCGGTGTTTGTACGACTGGAGACATCGTGCCCTTAATTGAGGCAATGATCCTCGACCGACAGACCGCTCATGAAGAGTCGAAAGTGCCACAGTGGTTAGCCAGCTTTCGGGATATGTCTGCAGGCAGCGACCAGTGGATGTCGTCTCTTGGAAACGAAGAGAATCTGCCTCTCGTTACCGCTATCGCACCAAGTGCTCAAGATCCTACGGGGATATCCCATACTACCGAACCCCAGTGCGAAATCGTCGGAGACGAAAACGCTGCCGAAGCTGCTTGCTCCAGCAGTAACCAGATAGCAGCGCTTCAGCGTCAGCATGGCAAGCTTGTCTTCAACGACACTGATCAGTGGGCCCCGGGTGGTCGAATTTACAACCAACGCATGGCCAATCACCTCGAGCCAATCTTCATTGGTAGCGATGGTCAGTCGTACGAGGATGTCGACGCATGGTTTGGACGCCCGACCCAAGCAGACGCGCAGGACATCGCCTTCCTTCTCCACGTTTTGGAACCACATCTTCCGGAAGACCTGAAAGCAGCGATTGGAGCCCAGACTTTGGATACCCTTATCAAGACGCGATCACAGAATGGCAAGAACGTCCTCCTCCAGGAGCTCGAAATGCAATGGCTTCTCATCTGTCCCGGTACTATCGTCGCGCCCGGTTCACCCATCAAGACGTTGCAAGACATCAAGAACATCATCGAAGGGAATCGGAGGAAATTCACCCCTGCATGTCACTTTGATGTACGCCATTATGTGGGACTAGATCACCCTTGCCGACCGTATCTCCTTCAACAAGAAGAGATGGCGATCAACGAAGGCATCGCAGACTACAACACGCGTAACTGGAACATCGACTTCGAACCCTCCTTCGTTCGTGAACTTACAAGGGGCAAGCCAGAGCACGCCTTGCTCGAAAGCTACGAGCGAATTCCCGACTGGATGGAAGACATTGACCAAGGCGACCTACTTGATCCAAATGCTTTCCACGAGTGTCCATGCGGACAGGTCGCGATGTCAACGCTCGATAGCTACCACGACGAAAAGAAGCACAACTACAAGGAGATGAAAGGCTTCGAATCGTTCTTTCCGATCGAAGTCCTCGACGGTAGCGAGCTCCATGACGCCATGGCCGACCTAGTCTTGCTTCCTCAGTATTCCGAGCATGCGACACCGCCTCGTTCCCAGGAGATCGTACAGAACTGTGAGCTGCATAAGACGACCACCGAGAACATCTTTGTTCTAGTCGACACATCAGCCGAGGACATTAACGAGCGCATCAGCCATCCTGGTGGTTTACTTCCGGCGCCAGGCATTACATCCTCGTTCTACCCTCCTGGTTTCCAGACTACCATCGGTTTCTCGGAGATTCCTTACCGTCTGCTTCCCCCTCGGTGTGAGCACGGTCGCTTGCATCAGTTTGAGTTCACGCCTCAGACGATGGCGAGCAGGATGATGAACGCGAGTCAGATCGGCTGTACACAGTGCTTTCCGCATGGCCACATTGTTACTCGATGCCAGGAGTGTCTACAGCATTGCAATGCTCTGGCTGCGCCGCACGGCATGTGGGAGCAGCTCGATACCGCATATCATCCGACGGTAGACTTTGCTCAAGAGCAACACCAGGGCCACGACTTGGCACAGAATGTGCAGTCTAGGCGGGCAAAATCCTTGATCGCTGGCACTGCGCGCGCTACTCTTCACCCACCCGGTATGCCCTTTTTCATGTAAATGCTAGATCTCCAACTGACCCCAGACCTCCAGTTCGGCAGCAGGGTCCCGACTTCCCTATCAACTCAGATTTCGAGGCTGCGATGCAGCGCGCAAACTGGCAATGAGCCGTTCGAGCTTGTTATACCTCTTGAGAGCAAGTTTGTACCTAAGTACTGTTCTCGCTCTTTCCTTTCTTTACTCGCTGTTTTGACCGAGATCGTAGAGGATTTTGAATGTACTCATTCATGTTGATTTGTTTAGCGTTTGATACCCGGTTTGGTGTCCTAAGAAGGCCATCCTTGTTTGCTTATGTTGGCCATATAATGCCTATATCCGACTTACAAGTCATCAGTGTTATCAGCTTCAATTTATTTATATGCCCAATAATGCGCCATCGTTGTGAACATTGCGTTTCACTTCGCAACTATGTCTGGGCCATCTGGAAATTCAAATTCACCGCACGATAATGTTGGACCTCCGCCAACAGCAGTACCAATCTGGATGCCCCGAGTTGTTCATTCACCATAGTCTGTGCTGCTCCCGGAGCTGGCCCTAGCGTGGCTCCTGGTTGCGCCTTTGCGACTCAACTCTCGCTCGGTATATATGTCCACGCTCGAGCTGCAGAGTTTACCTCGTTAACACTACACCACACCCTTTATTTCAACCCACATCGACTCACAGCACCAAGTACACTCGCCTGAAACTTACTGCCTTCACACCAAAAGGGCCTCAGCCGCGTAGGTGGGCTATCCGCTCCGCCGGCATCAGTCTCAACCGCCCCCTTATACTATCGCCGCAAGCGCTGGCCCAGGCGAAGTGCACCCACAGATTTCTCAACCGTCTGCCTACCTTTACACCGGCTGCGACAAAAGAAGACCCCATTGTGCAGATCGCCAGGATATCAGGCATTGCCAGGTTAGTTTCATCTGATGCGTTCAGTGCAGACCAAATGCTAAATCACTGCAGTCAAATCATGCAGTCACTCAACAAGCTCTTCCCGCCCATTATAATGGTCACATCACCGTCGTCTGCCGCGGATACGCCCTCAACATCTCCAAACGTCGGAAGCGTACTGCGTACCTCCGCGACTTCGAAGCTCCATGTTGAGATGATTGAAGACGACGATGACGAAGACTGCGAGTGTCCTGCTTATATTAAGTCGCTCGGTCCTAAGTTCCGCGGAGTCGAGGAGTTGGTCACTCATCCAAAAGCAGGCGACGATGGCTTTGGCTTGCTGAATCACATGGCTTCGTCCTCTCTGAGCTCCAATTTCGACTACGAGGGTGAGCTCAAAGACTACAAGCATATCCAAAGGATTCTCTTGGAGATGGGCGGCGAATGCGAAGCGCTCGCTGATCTCCCATACATTCACTCTTACTTCCGTGCAGAGATGCCAGATGGCAGCAAGATGATCATGGCAAAGCTGTATGATGCATATGCGAAACACCAGACAGGATATCCAGCTTTCCAGGGTAACAAAGTCGGCGACGAGGTTCTACAGAACGTCTTGGACCTAGCATGCGATGTGTCCAAGCACATGCCACATTTGCTTCTCCTCAAGAAGGACGCAGCTATTGTGGATGAAGAAGAGCCTCGCCTGAACATTGGTTGTTTTGAGCATCCTCGGCAGTTTCCAGCAGTGTGGAATGAAGACTTTGACGAGATTCCGTTGCCTCTTGGAGAAGAACTTGTGGTTATCGGGCTAAGTCGCT